GTTGCCGTACTGGGAAGGCGGGCGGGCGGCTTCGTGTCTCGACGGATGCAAGAGATGAGGTAAGTTAGCCAGGATTCGGAGCCCCAAGCCGACGCAACGGAGACACACGGAAGAAGCCCGCAGATTGTGGGGGAGGCCGCCTTGGAAAGGGGGGGTAAAATGTGGATGCAGAATTGTGCATGTCCACGTTGGAACTTGGGTGAGAGACTCTCGCGAGAGTTGCTGGCACTCTACGTACAGAATAGTGTAGATACGTACATACATACATAGTACAGAGGGAAATGTCGAATTGTTGCTTGTTCCTCCCCCTTGCCATGTTGCCATGCTCACTTTACCGTAACCAGTTCCCGATTCCCACCCGCATGGCACTTGCCCATCGATTCGTCCCCTTTCTCGTTGCCGTTCTACCCCTTCCCCCTAGCCCCGCGCGATATCAGGGCCCGAAAATCAACGAGAGACAGGGTCGGGTCCTCGTTATCTTGGGACGATGAGGCAATCCAAGAATACTCTGCACCTCACAAGTCTCCTTTCCCTTGCGCTGCCCACACACCCTACACGCCCCTCCAGCCCCCCGGCACCCCTCCACACTCACCATGTACTATGTACCATGTCTGCTAAGACACCTGCGCCGTGTACCATAGCACGCACCCGCTTCTCCACGAGCCCAGAGGGACACACCGGTGACAAGCGACAAGTTCGAGTCTTCCCGATCCTGTCCCTAATCCTCTTCTATCCCGAACCCGCAACAAGGATCTACACCCCTCCTCCGAACCCGAGATAATATCGTGAAGCGCCCAGCAACGACAACTCGTCCAGTCACATCGTCGTCCTCGTCCCCGCGACTCCACACGCCGCGCCCGTTCTTATAAGTGGGAGACCCCATTCTGGCCTCTCTATCCTCGGTCCCAGCTCAGACCAAGCCACCAAGCAGTCTTGTCTACACCTTGTACTCTCACTCCATCTACTCCCATCTTGCCCTTTGCCCCATAGTGCTCGTACTCCATCAAGAAAGTGGATACGATTCCTTTGCAATCCCTGAAAGCGGACGAGAACCACAAGCCCTTCCAAGCCTTGACCCAGGCCATCTTCACCCGATCTCAAAGAAGCAAACCGCCGTCTTCTCAATTCTTTATAACCATGAAGGATCCCATCCAGAGAACCGCTTCTCCCTACACTGATCCAGCAGTAAAGGGCCCCAAGTCGCAGATTCTCCACGAAGGAACCCAGGCAGATTTACGCAAGAGTTCGTCTATCCTCTCCCATCCCCCTTTGCTCACGTCTCCCTATCCCGTCCGTCTACTCTACAGGATATCTTCCACTTAGACGCAAACTCTGTTTCCGTCTTGACCTCCCTTGCCCTTCATATAACCCCGAGAACCCTCCCACAATCATCACACCCTACTCGGAAACGACAACCAGTAGCTAACATGGCCGCCGTCAAAGTGATCGCTAGCAACGTTAACAAGACCCCTCTCCACCCCGGTGGTGTTGCGTATGTTGATTCCTCCCTCATTTCCATGGTTCCAAAGGAGGCCTGCTAACATGGCATTTACAGTCCTCACCATGAGCACACTGAGCTTGGTATGACAAGCCTCCCATCCCCGAGCCGATCCTCTGCGACGGTTACAATCGCCAAGCACCGTAGACATGTCTAACGCATCGAAACAGAGGAGGAGCTCCACGAGACCGCGCACATTGACTACGACCGTGTGGCCATTGTACGTAGAAGCCGCGGACAAAGGAGCGCGCTCGGACACTCCGCTGACTGTGGCCCAGATCCCCAACGCCTCCGTTCCCGCTCTCTACGAAGATGCCCTCGTCTACGAGACCGGCTCCGCCATCACATCAAGTGGTGCGCTGACTGCCTACTCTGGAAAGAAGACTGGACGCTCCCCTCTCGACAAGCGAATTGTCGAGGAGGACAGCTCCAAGAACGACATCTGGTACGTTTCCCCTTGACGGCCAGTCATGACACAACCGGCGGTGCGCGAGCGCAGCTGAATGGCTGGTCGCTGACCATTGAATGCGTAACCATTTGCTAACAATTGGATTTTCCAGGTGGGGTCCCGTCAACAAGCCCATGTCAACCGAGGTAAGAGAAACACATCAAACCCCAAATCGAGTCATGGTGCAGTCGAAGTCGGCACGCTTCCCGTCCGCTCTTTGTGCATCCTCAGCCCAGTCTAGCCCAGCCCAGCCCAGCCAGCAGTAGCCGCATTCCCCAGATACAGGCACAAAGACACGTCCGCTCTTGTCACACGACCAATCGTTGGCACAAAGACACTCCGCAATGTCTTGGTTTTTCTCGTCTGCAGCTGTCAACTTGGTCCAAACCCGAGTCAGCACAAGAAAACTCAAGCTCGCCGAGAATGTTGCTGTAGTCGACGAATACGTCATGCTTCAGATCGGCACTGCAATGCCCTGCGCAATGTTTCCACTTCCCTTTGGTCCGCCAGGCGGCGTAGGGAAATGTGAGCTGATGCGTATTGGTACATGTGCGGGGAGGATCTCATCGAGATGCTTTCGTCCAATCTTTCCCGATTTTCCCCTCGTTCTGTATGCTGGTATGCTCTAGGCGTGGCTTGCGACCGGGGCAGTGTGTCGTCATAGCCCTGCAACCCCTCCATTGCATTGTTCCCCCTTTTTTTTTTGTCCTGACCCGAGAAAAAAAGACGGATTGCCGGCCCCGCACTTTTCTGCGCGAGTCGAGCTAAGCCTCTTTCCTCGCCCCTGTCCAAGCTCCACCCCGCAATTCTCCGTCACCTCCACACTCCTGCTTTTCCCGGCGCCTGGGCCCATGCTTGCACCCGGCTTCAACCACTTATTGCGCATCCGCTGACATGTGAGATTCTCTAGGTCTGGAAGATCAACCGCGAGCGTGCCATTGACTACCTGAACACGAGGAATCGCATCTACGTCGTCGACGGTTACGCCGGCTGGGACGAGAAGTACCGCATCCGCGTCCGTGTCATCTGCGCCCGCGCCTACCATGCCTTGTTCATGAGGAACATGCTTATCCGCCCTCCTCGTGAGGAGCTTGAGCACTTCCACCCCGATTACACCATCTACAATGCCGGCTCTTTCCCCGCCAACAGATACACCGAGGGCATGACCTCCGGCACTTCGGTCGCCATCAACTTCGCCGAGAAGGAAATGGTCATCCTTGGTACCGAGTACGCCGGTGAGATGAAGAAGGGTGTGTTCACCGTCCTCTTCTACGAGATGCCCATCAAGCACAACGTCCTCACCCTGCACTCCTCTGCCAACGAGGGCAAGAACGGCGACGTCACCCTTTTCTTCGGTCTGTCCGGAACCGGCAAGACCACTCTGTCTGCCGACCCCCAGCGTGCCCTGATCGGTGACGACGAGCACTGCTGGAGTGACCGCGGCGTCTTCAACATCGAGGGTGGCTGCTACGCTAAGACCATTGGCCTGTCCGCCGAGAAGGAGCCCGATATTTTCGGCGCCATCCGCTTCGGCTCCGTCCTCGAGAACGTTGTTTTCGACCCCGAGACCCGCGTCGTCGACTACGACGACTCCACCCTGACGGAAAACACCCGCTGCGCCTACCCCATCGAGTACATCAGCAACGCCAAGATTCCCTGCCGCTCCGACTCGCACCCCACCAACATCGTCCTCCTCACCTGCGACGCCCGCGGTGTCCTGCCCCCCATCTCCAAGCTGGACCGCGCCCAGACCATGTTCCACTTTATCTCGGGTTACACCTCCAAGATGGCCGGCACCGAGGACGGTGTCACCGAGCCCCAGGCCACCTTCTCGTCTTGCTTCGCCCAGCCCTTCCTCGCCCTGCACCCCATGCGCTACGCCAAGATGCTCGCCGACAAGATCGAGCACCACAACGCCAACGCCTGGCTCCTCAACACTGGTTGGGTCGGTGCTGGCGCCGCCCAGGGCGGCAAGCGCTGCCCGCTCAAGTACACCCGCGCCATCCTCGACGCCATCCACTCGGGCGAGCTGGCCAAGGTTGAGTACGAGAACTACGACATCTTCAACCTCCAGGTCCCCAAGACCTGCCCCGGCGTTCCCAGCGAGCTGCTCAACCCCAAGGCTGCCTGGACCGCTGGCAACGACAGCTTCGAGACCGAAGTCAAGAAGCTCGGCACCCTCTTCAACGAGAACTTCAAGAAGTACGCGAGCGAGGCGACCGAGGAGGTCGTCAAGGCCGGCCCCGTCGTTTAAACACAAAAGCGTCAAAGCAGAGCGCATGCTGTTGTGTGGAGCGCAAAGCGTCGTCATTATGGATTTATGATTTTTTTTTTCATTTAATCATTTCTTCGGGTCTTGTTTTGGGAAACTGGGAAATGTCGTCGACATGGTCCGACATGAACATAATGCCGTGTGAGGAACCGCGGCAGTCTTGGTGGGGGTTTTCTTGTCTTCCTTTTTTTGCTGTTAAAAAAAACAGGAGGCAAATCTGTTTTTGGGCTTCATTTGATAGAATGAGAATGGAAGCAAACTTGAAGCAATGCGTCGTATCCTCTTGCTGTGAGACCGTGACCATGTTTCCGCCCCTACACGCCGTCGTTTCCCTTGCTTCATTGCTGTGATCAAGAGCTGATAGAGGAATTCTGTGTTGAGAACCACGCGTAACACCTTATCAAGCGGCCCACCATGAATCTACGCTTCAACGCGGTCGTTGTGATGGGCTCCCTCGGGAAGTTGATTGGGAGGAAACCACTCGACGCGTTCGTTTTCCGGGCTAAGATAGACTACTGTGCAGAGGAGACAAGACTTGGTTTTCCATGACTCATCCGTCTAGGAGACGAGGGGTGTGTATGCCTGGGACCTGGCGGCATGCCCATCTACGTCCCTTCTTTAACACAACTGCCACGTCCATTGGTCTTCATCTTACTGGGGAACGCAAATTGGCGGCAGTGTCTGGCTACATTGCCGTAGGGCCAAAGTATCTGTGACATGTCACAGATACATTCTATTCAACAACAAAAAACCAATCCGATTTCTTACTTCACCCCGTAGTCTCACCAATCCCTGGACGAGATCTTCTCGGCCACGATCCAGTTCACATGCCCAAAAGGCGGCATGTGGGGTTCGCTCCCGCTCTTAAACTCCCAACCGTCGGTGCGAGCGCCGCACGACTTCATCAGGGCCTCGACCTCATCCGGCGTCCTCGTCCTCAAGGCGGAAATATAGCCGTCAAAGACCAATACAAACGGCAGAATGGGGATGAGGTATGTGAAAACCAACACGGACAGCGAACGTAACCTCCATGCGTGTAAGGGCGCCAAGAGCAAGCACCCGATGCCGAGGACGGCGGGCATGAGAAAGGAGTATAGGTCGCGGCCCTGCAGCTCGAATATGGCGAAGCCGTCGGAGGTCTCGAGTGTGTTCTTCAGAATCGCCCTAGCCAGCGGATCATCAAAGTGGTGGAAGGCTAGGTTGAACAGACGAAAGACCTTCTTGCCCCTTGACGTATACCCTTCAATGAGCTCACGAGGCGCCGCGGCGGCGTCGACGCTGTTATGCTCGTAGCCAATGTGCTCGCTCTTCGCCGCGGCGCGGGCCCAGGCGTCGGTGTTGGGGTGCAGGTCGGTTAGGACAAAGTCAACATTGGGCTGCTTCTGAATGGTGAGCTGGCGGTTGACGTAGCGCTCGATAGCCGGGGTTGGGCCGCCGGAGCCAGCGCAGAAGTCGATGAAGGTGTAGGAGGGAAGGCGCGGGCCGAGCATGCGATGCAGGATCTGGGCGGCGATGCGAGCTGGGGAGGCTGTCTGAAGGACGGGAAGCTTTTGCACCCAGGCTGCGTGGAGGCCTTCTTGGACGTAACCGCGGAGGAAGGACGGGAACCTGTTGGAAGGGCGTGTTAGTTGCGCGCGAAACCGAGAGGAGGCGGAGAACAGAGAGGGAAAATCAACGCGGTCATGCGCACCATGGTTGGTCGTCGATTTCGAAGAGGTGGAATCGCGGGACAAGAGGTGCCATCTTGGTGACGTCGAGAGGAGAATGGTTGGTGTTGCGGACAAGAGCCGGGAACGACAGCGGTCGAGAGGGTAATTGATATACTGATTATGGTCGGGCAGCAGAGGTTCGGCAACGGGGTTGCATTTGCTTGCAAAGGTTTCTAGAAACTTTGTAGCTTGGAAGCCAAATCGAAGCTACGAGGGTTGATGTTACGGACGGGCGATTGGTTCTTGTTGAGGAGCATTAAAGGAATGGAATCGGTAGGTTCTTTTGGTCCTGCCCCTAGCTGGCGCGGGAGGCGGGAGGATTGTCGCATTTGCTACGCCCAGCTCGAGACAGGGAAAGCTCCAGAACGAGCAGGGATAGGTAGGGACGGGCCCCTCTCCGCGCCAGGAAAGTACCTACTACAGTAGAAGTTGGTTGTTCATGGTTGTGGCACGTCCATTGATGCGTTGGACAGTCCAACGGAGCTACGGATTGCTCCGTCGGTGCTTCCTTGGCGGTGTCTTCCGTTGCTGTCCTGGTTCACGTTAGGCGGTAATGGAATTGTGAGGTGAGGATGATGAAATGTTGAATGAGAACAAGAGCATGACGGCAGGGAGCTACAGGGGGGCAAGGGGTTGCAGCTTAGGTTTTAGGAGTTTCGACAGGGCTTCAGTGGAGACGGGAGCTGCGGGATCGTGTGGAAGCCGTGGAACACAGTTCCAATTTCCCATGTCGACGACCCCGGAATCAACCACCAATTGCTTTCCTGTCACTGGCCGGTCTGGACAAAGCCGTTGAGTTTCCGTGTTGGGCATTGGATGATTGACATCAGACCATTCCCGACACACCCACCTTAGTGCCTAGGTATACTACGGTCTCGGCCAATGCCACTTTGTTCCCGCTGTTGGATGCTTCCTTTGGAGACTGAATGAAGCGAATCCGAGAAACAGACCAACGACCGGATTCCATCTCATCTCATAGTTCATGACACCTTCCTTCGAGCTTTTCGCCCAACTGTCGGGGCTAATTTCGGGATACTGAAGCATCAGTACGACTGATAGGACTATTCGCTCGTTACCTCCACGGCGATTGCGGCTTACGGCGCCAAAATGGGCCTCGTCAACCCCTCAACAGTCCTTGCCGCGGGCATTGTCTCCGTCTTGTTGTATGCCATTTTTGGCCAGCCCAAGTTAAGAAAGCATGGTGTTCCATTACGGTAAGCCATGGACGAAACTCCCCTGCAGATGGCACGGACAGGTTCGGGTCCAGCAGAGCATTGACTTTTTGCCCAGACGACCTCCTGGCACCCTACCCCTTGCTGGCAATGGCATCAACTTCCTCAGAGATCGGCAAAAGTTGTTCAAATGGTTCACCAAGTGCGAGCAGCTCTACGGCTATGAGACGTTGCAGATATCCGTGCCAAGTCTGCCACCTGGCGTCATCATCAGTGACCCAAGGAACCTCGACTACGTCTTCAAAAACGAGGGCATATTTGCCAAAGGCGAGTTCTTCAAAGGGCGGTCGAGAGACTTGTTCGGTCAGTGCCAAGGTGAACCATCAGTGGAGTGTGACATTTGCTCACACAACCACAGGAAACGGCATCATCAATGTTGATGGCGACTTGTGGAGATTACAGCGCAAGGCCGGGCTCAACTTCCTCAACACGTCAAACTTGAGAGTCCTGACAGATGTGGCTCTGCCGGAGTACCTATCGAGGAGTGTTGCCTTCCTGAAGAGCAAGACCGACAAGGATGTCGTTGACCTACAAGCCGTTTTTCACGAGATCACCACACAACTCATGGGAAAGATGGCGTACAACGTAAGTTTCTTTCCTCATTGAGTGCCACCCAGCTCCTGTTCCGGTCAAGCTAGCCATTGACAATGACCTTTCCGCTGACTCGTGGGCCCAGATGGAGATGCATGCCGAAGATGAGTTCGGCCTGGCTTTCGACTACGCGTCTGGTGTGACCGCCGAACGCTTTCAAAATCCTCTGTGGATCGTCACCGAACTATTCACTGGCGCTCACCTGCGGAAGTCCATATCGGTCGTGAAATCGTTCGGACAGGGCATCGTCTGTAGTGCCATGAAAGACAGGAAAATCCGTGCTGAACCCGAAAAGAAGGTTCCCAATGTCGCCAGCAACGATACGCTGGATCATATCTCGGGCAGTTTGATCCAGTCGTTCTTGGACTCTATTGGGGATGAGCAGCTGGTCGCTGATGCTGCGTTGAACTACCTCTCTGCCGGCAAAGACACCACGGCACAAGCACTGACGTGGACGTTTTACTTGCTAATGAAACACCCCGAGGTCATGGTCAAGGTTCGCGAAGAAATCGATCGAGTTACGGAGGGCAGCGAGGATTTCCTCGAGAAGGCCATCTCAGAACGGGCCAGCCCAAATTCGATGCCATACGTCTTCGCAGTCTTCTGCGAAGCCCTGCGCATCTTCCCGCCCATTCCCTTCGAGATCAAGCAGGCGGTACAGGCGACCACTCTACCGGACGGAACCTTTCTGCCTCAAGATTCCGTCATCGTGTGGTGCACCTGGGCAATGAACCGATCACGCGTCACATGGGGCCCCGACGCGGACGAGTTTCGCCCTGAACGTTGGCTGGTTGATGGCAAGGTAGTCAACAAGAGCACCTCAGAGTTTCCCGTCTTCAACGGCGGGCCTAGAACGTGCCTAGGCAAGAAGATGGCAGAGATTATTGCCGTGCAGGTCATCGCCACGGTGGCTGGCCTTTTCGACTGTGCAATAGTGGACAACTCGACGAGGGTCAGTAAGAGCAGCCTTACGCTCCCGATGAAGGATGGTCTTCCTAGTTTTGTACGTCGCAGGGCTGCTGTCTTAGAGTAACAAGTCTTTTTTGACATATGCTGAATACTTATTGCATAATTACGTCAACAAATACCCTCGCTGAAGAGACAGTGAACGCTGCGGTCTGCGGCTTAGTGGGACCACAATAGTAGTGAAGCTACACCGCGCAACTTTATCCTCGTCAGAGGTTCATGGACCCCCAAACCGATCCCTGAGACAAGAATGATTTTTAATCATCTGCCATCAAGTATAAAAAAGACGACTGCCATGTCACGCTGCAAAATTCAAGATTGAAGATTGATAGCACAACCTGGTTTCGATCCAGGGACCTCTGGGTTATGAGCCCAGCGCTCTACCCCTGAGCTATTGTGCTTATAGGTGGGTCTTAACGTTACGTTTCGTCATCAATTGAGAGTATACAACGTCTAGGATTATCAGACTAAAGTTTTACCTACCAATTGCACGTCCAAGTCCGTAAAAATAAGAGGAAATAACATGGATAGGAGGACTGAAGATCCTAGATTGCGCGCACTTGTCGCGGGTTTTATAGGTCACTAGAGTTGTACATTTCCTGCATTGTTAGCTCACATTTGAGGTTGAGATTTGGAGGCTGCACTCGGTCTGGAAACCTCTCAATGAGAACTGGTATCCAGATTTCGTTTTCATTAGCAATTAATAGACTTTCGCTTGCGAGCCTTTTACAAATAAGTATACACGGTGAAATCTCTTGAAGCTTATCACCAGAAATACATATCTTTTTGCTCATCTGAACCACCAGTTCACCGACGCATTCAGTCTCCCATCAGTATGCCCACTCTTAACGCTGTGCCACCAACCCGTCGGGATGAAGAGAGCATCTCCAGGGCTCAGCCTGGCTTCCAAAATGTCCTCAGGGCCTTCCATGCCCCAAACGGCCGTGTTCATGACGACTCTCTCACGGCCTTCCATCATCTCCGCCGTTCTGATGCGGCTGTTCCCGGACTGTTGAATCTGCGTCTGTACCCTGCGATACAAGCGATCTCCAGATGACGGAGGCAGTAGACGGATGACTTTGTTCCCAACGAGCTGGCAGAACAGATTTGGATTTGGGTCGCGGTGAAGCGGGGTATACGTTGGCTCCAGTCCGAGCCACACGCTCGAGTTGTAGACGTCGCCTTTGCCGGCCTCCATCACGATGCGCGGGACCGGGAGGTCATCCTGAAGTTCCGGCGGGAGATCGGGGAGTTGGGCCTGGGCTACATAGAGCTGCTTGATTTTCTTCTCGTGCAGTCTGTTGAATTCAGCGGCCTTGAGTAGAAGCAGTAGGGGCGCGGTGAAGGAGGAGAAGTGTGGCTCTGAGGCGTCTGGGTGAGTTGCGGCGTGAACAATGCCGGCCAGCACCGCACCTATCGGGTCTGAGCCTGCAGCGAGCCAGGTAAGGAACTGGTTTGTCGTGTCGACAACGAGACCCGTGTCTTCAGATAGTTGGGGGCTCATTAGCTCGTAGGGTAACATGTGGTGAGCGAATTGGTCCATGTAAGGGGTGAACGTGACGATGGACTCATCTTTGAGAGCCTGGGGGTATAGGGTTTCATCGTGCTTGAACCATTTTGATGATGCTGGGAGGGGACTCGTATTGGAGGATGTGGCCAGTTGTCTGAAGAGAAGAGGTATGCCCGACCTAAAGGCTGACTCTCGGAACTTGGGGATATCGACAGCGTTAAATGGCGTGTCTATGACTTCGACAGAGTTGACGGTTGAGAAGCTTCGGCCTGTCGATCTTAGGCTGAGTGATCTGATTGCCAGGGAACAACCATGTATACGAGGTCTCATGATAAAATGTAGATGGAATAGAATCGCTCTCTTCTTTTGGGAAGTGAAAACAGATGGATAACCAAGATAGCTACATCAATCCAACAAGACATACATTTTCAATATTACATCACGTGGTGGGTTGATGTGACCTGAGCTCTAATTCGGTGAGCGGTAATAGATGGCAGGTGAGACGGAAGGTGCTGCCTCACCGAAGCCCTCGGCGGCTGGATTAAGAAAACACCCGCTCACCGAGCAGGCGCATGTGCACAGACCACCGTAATGATTGGGCGTAATATCCTGCTCTAAGCGGGCTGGGCGGTCTTCGTGAGGCACCGCAGTCCACAGCCCACCCACCACAACTTCAGCTTTTGCTGAGAGGCCCAAATACCACCGCCTTCGCCCCCAAGCAAAAATAAGGACGAATAAAAGTATATCGCAACTCAACTTTGCTAAGCGAGCAGCATTCCATCTTCCGCGAAACTCGCCCTCGACCCACGATCCCCTCTATCGACGACGTCGACCTTTGCGCCCGATATGCGCCGCGTCTGACCCTTCCGCACGCCTGCTAACTACCCCGCCATATTTGCGCCCCTGCTGGGAATACTACTATCCGATATCCAAGTAGCCGTATAGAGGCCAGCCCTTGACTCCATCCGACGATTATATCGCGCGAACCTGTCCGCGCCACGACCTCCCCTTTTTAAACCGACACCCCGTCAATACCACCACCTTGGATTACCTCGACGACATGTCCACCTCTTCGGGGGCCCCGGAGTCTTGGATATCTTCCTTCTGCTCTCTACTTGGCCACGAGTACTTCGCTGAGGTTTCTGAGGAGTTCATCGAAGATGACTTCAATCTCACAGGCCTGCAGAATCAGGTCGCGATGTACAAGGAAGCACTCGAGGTATGTCTTGCAGGATTTCCCGCCTCCTCTGAACTCCCCTTTCTCGCGCCTCTCTGCTCTCCTATGCTTCTCGGTCGATTTCAGTTCTAACCAAATTTGCACAGATGATTCTCGACGTGGAGCCTGAAGAGGACGAGGACGAAGAGGAGGAAGAGGAGGAAGACGACGAGGACAATGATTCGGGAGACCAAGACCGTCTCGGCCCCAGACACGATCGGAGACAACATAGCCGCATGGCCAGCGACCTCAGCGTCATCGAGTCTTCCTCCGAGATGCTCTACGGCTTGATTCATCAACGGTTCATCTGCTCACGGGCAGGGATTCAACAGATGAGCGAGAAGTATGAGCTGGGTCACTTCGGCTGCTGCCCCCGGACGAACTGCGATCAAGCAAGAACACTCCCGGTGGGACTCTCTGATATCCCTGGTGAAGACACTGTGAAGCTGTTCTGCCCATCATGCCTTGACGTCTACGTCCCCCCCAATAGCCGCTTCCAGACTGTTGACGGAGCTTTTTTCGGTCGCACATTCGGTGCCCTCTTCCTTCTCACATTCCCGGAGTATGACCTCACCAAGCGCGGAGCGGAAGTCCTCAGCAGTGGCGGCGCACGCATCAACGACGACTCGGTCGAGATGATCAATGGCATGTACGCCAAAAACATTGCACCCGGCCTGGGTGCTGGTCGGATATACGAGCCTCGTATCTACGGGTTCCGCGTGTCTGAGATTGCTAAATCCGGTCCGCGGATGCAGTGGTTGAGGGACAGGCCGGACGACATGACCGAACTGGACGAGGCGCGCCTGTATGCAGATGAGCACCCCGATTCGGATGAGGAAGACGAGAGCATGAACGGCAACGGACGGCCTGGACCCCGGCGCCGTGCCCCACGTGGCAATGCACGCCTTCGCACGCAACGCCAGGCCCAGAACGGCAGCCCCATGAATGTCGAGACGAATGGTGCGGAGTCGGAGCTTTGAAAATTGAGCCGGACATTCAGGGACATACTCGTTCTTCCATGATCTCTACGCAGTTTGCGCAGGCTTTCGACGACGATCGATGGCACACATGGGTGCTGCGTCAAGATAGAGGCACAGATAGTTGTGGGCAGTGGGCGGTGGAGCTCGCACGGAAACGGTCAATACGGATGCCCTGCATAAGGTAGAAGGCGTTAAGGAGGCAAGTCCCGATCTCCCTCGACGAATGGGGCACGTCGTTGGTAAAGGGGAGGTGCATTACGGAAGCAAAGAACTCACGCCGTCAAACGAACTCGAGTTTCGATTCTCTTCGCAGGCAACAGTGCCTGTTGTATAGGCTTAATGCGACGGCCATTGCATTTCTGGGCCTCGAGAGACAGACTATAGACTGCATGCAATTCGTCGGTCGATCAAGGGAACCACCCATCCTGCAACCCCCGTGATGATGGCCTATATGCGGATGTGTTTTGTCATGACTTGAACGAATGTTCGCCATTCCCTTCCCTTGACGTTTGGTTCTTATCTACCTCCTTCTGACACCATCGAGAGACGGCAGGCCGACATAACTAGACATTTGGATGACTGCTTAGTTGATCCCCCTGAACTCAGCGGATGACCATGCAAATGAGGCAAAGATCTGATGTCCTCCCGCTCTCTTCTCCACAGCAAGGTAGTCAGCAAATATTCCATCTCCACCCCCGCGTAATCACTGGCTTGGATCTGACTGCTGGCCACGTCGCACTGGACTAGGATTAACAATCACATCGCCCCCTCTTGTCTCCCCCGCATTCTTCTAGTGTCGCTTCAATGCAGGATAAACATCTGGGAAGCGAGCACATGGAGACTACGCAACCAGTTTTTTCCAGAGTCGTCCGAGTGGAGGTTCTACTTCGGGCCAATGCATCACGAGATCGCTCTCTCACCATTGTCTTCCTGCAGCTACAGTTCAGCCGGGTGATGTCACCCCGTACGATCGAAGCGGGGTCATGGCTCGGTTCGTCTGGGGTTGAAGTCTTAGGATACCTCTTAGCTGGAGCCGGCGTGTTGAGTTTATTCAGGACGTATATAAGTCCTTGATGTAGCTCTCTGAGCCAGATATTGGCGTTTCGGTAAAGGGCTTCTTCTTGAACCGCAAATACCCACGTGAAGATGATGTCAACTCGCGTGGTTTCGTTCTTGTATCTGACGGTTTTTGCATATTCTTCTTCACTCCTCGCTGAAGCAACACAGGGCTCGAACTCGACATTTTACAACCCCATCATTCCTGGCTTCCATCCCGACCCGAGTTGTATATTTCTACCTGAGTGGGATGAAACCTTCTTCTGTGCTTCTTCGAGCTTCAATGCCTTCCCAGGTATTCCGCTTCATGCCAGCAAGGACTTGCAAAATTGGAAGCTGATCGGTACCACCGCCTCATTTTCCGAGGGGAATCGTAAAAGTTGACTTCCCACAGGACACGTCCTGAACCGCAAGGAGCAGCTCCCACGGCTGGCTGAGACAAACCGTTCTACGAGGCAAGGGTTCCGCAACTGGTTGAGACCATAAGCTGACATAGCTCAGCGGCATCTGGGCACCGACATTGCGTTATCATGATGAAACATTCTGGCTTGTTACGACTCTCGTGGACGACGAGAAGGACGCGGCGGATGCCTCGAGATGGGACAATGCGAGTCGATCTTGTAAATTTCTGCATGGCTGTAGTGTATTGACATGAGACCAGATCATCTTCAAAGCCAAAGATGCCCACGATCCAGCATCGTGGTCCAACGCTATCCATTTCGAGTTCGAGGGATATGATACGGAGCCTTTTTGGGACGACAACGGAAAGGTTTACCTGAATGGGGCCCATGCTTGGAAGGTCGGGTGAGTATTGGATCCTAACATACTACTCTGCAAGGTTATAAGCCGCTGATAGACTCAAAGTCCATGGATACAACAAACAGAAGCTAACCTTGAAACTGGGGAAGTTGGAGAATGGATGACCATCTGGAATGGGACCGGTGGCATGGTAAATCGCGACGGCCGTGGTTGTGACCGTGACTAATACCATATCAGGCACCAGAAGGACCACATATGTATCGCAAAGATGGATGGTACTACCTCTTGGCCGCAGAAGGCAAGATTTTCCTATGTCAGCGTGAAATAGTATCAAGACAGCTAACGGACCGGACAGGCGGCACTGGGCTCGGCCACATGGTCACGATAGCTCGGTCTAAACATATTGACGGCCCCTACGAATCGAACCCAGCAAACCCGATTCTTACAAATGCAAACACAACCGAGTACTGTAAGCGTCGCATGATTTTTCGCCTATCGCTTCGTCAGTGACGCGGCTAACAACAAGTAGTCCAGACGGTTGGACATGCCGACCTGTTTCAAGATGCTTCCGGCAACTGGTAAGCATATATACTCGTAGAAACAGCTACTAGCTGATTTGAACAGGTGGAGTGTTGCGCTCGCCACAAGATCTGGGCCGGAGTGGATCCATTTCCCAATGGTGCGTGAAACAGTGTTGACTGCTGCCACGTGGGAGGAAGGGGAGTGGCCGTACTTGACCACTATTGCAGGCAAAATGAACGGTTGGAAGATGCCTTCGTATAACCTGGAAGTCGAAGGGCCTGGGTATGAGTTGAATCGTCTCATCTCCTTCTATCGATGGCAGTGGCTGACCGTCCTAGCCCCTGGGTCTCTCTAGGAGAGGTCCAAGGTGACGATATCAAATTCGCCCCGAACTCGACAATTCCGGCTCACCTCACGCACTGGCGCTATCCAATTGAGAACTCATATGCGATTTCACCCCCTGGACACCCTAACACACTCCGTCTGGCACCGTCGAAACTTAACCTCACAGCCCTCAACGGCAATTATGCTGGTCCAGAGGGCCAGACCTTTGTTGGGAGACGGCAGCAGGATACACTTTTTACCTACAGCGTAGACATAGACTTCACGCCAACGGTGGCGGAGGAGGAGGCAGGTGTATCGGTTTTTCTCACGCAGAACCACCATTTTGACTTGGGGGTGGTTTTGTTACCGGCGAAAACAAGCACACAAGCATTTCCCGGACGGAACTTGACGGTGATAGAGGATCCAGATGGTTTGAAGCTTCACTTCAGGTTCCGAGGCGAATCGTATGTTCCTGTACCCGCTAACATCGTAGCACCCGTCCCGGAGGAGTGGGTTGGGAAGCCCCTCCATCTAGAGATCAAGGGGCTAAACGTGACCCATTACTCTTTTTCTGCTGGTCCAACCGGAGCAGCTTCGCGCATTCAGACTCTGGTATATGTTTCTAACGACGCTCTGAGCTGGGGATTCACTGGTGAGTGTGCACTTAGCCTTGAGCCAAGTGTGAGTTGACGACTGAATAGGGGTCTTCCTCGGCGTCTATGCAACTAGCAACGGTGGGCCGGGGACGCAGTCTGCCTATGTATCGAACTGGAGATACACTCCTCAAGGACAGTTCAGAGATTAAAGTCCTTACCTCTGTTCCCGTCGAATTGGAAGTTACTGATGTAACTAGCCAATTGGAGCCATGGTGCACTTACCAACCCAAGTACAGGGACGGCGCTCGAGAACATTCGTATCCCTCTAGAATCAATGCACAATCCCAAGTCCGTTCTATGCTCTGCAATCTCCTAAATCACGTTCATCGCATCTGCAACGCTACTGCTGGACCCGTCCTGTATGATTTGTGCTCCCCATCATGGCATCTCCACATCTTCACGATGACGGCAAGATGGCCGAGCGGTCTAAGGCGCTAGCTTCAGGTGCTAGTCAAGTAATTGGCGTGGGTTCGAATCCCACTCTTGTCAAACTTTTTGCCCTGTCAAGAGGCTGTCTTTGTGAGCTGTTGCGTTGTTGCGTTGCGGAATGGTTGCTGGTCTGACTGATGATCGTGGCGCCAACCCGAAAGCCAGCTGTGTGCTACATCACGACGTGCAAGGATTGTGGGAAAGCACAACAGGGAGTTGATATCGAGAAGTGGGTAGTTGAAGCTGCTGGAAGATATACGACCGCTGGCCGCTATCAAGGTCTCAACGTCAGCACAGGTTCTGAGATCACGTCAAGGGCAAATATCAGTGTCTTCCTGGGTAATAGACACTTGAAGGTAGGGACACTGTCATACCGGTAGTGTGCAGGAACCGACTTACACTATGATGTGCTAGACTGCCCACTTCGTTTCTCAACGCCCTAAAATCCTGTTTCGGTCAGATATCTATGTTTCCGCACTCATTCCCCTCGCTTGAACGAATGGATCATCTTGTCTTTGCCCTTGTGTATGAAACCACTCGAAGCTGCAAACGCCCATAAATATCAGAGACCCAATTTATCACGCCCACTCCATTTGTGCTGGTGCTAGTTTACCGGCGAATGTTCCTAAACCTGGCACAAGGCGCACTCGGCATCGACTTTTCTCCAGTATCGAGTGGCGTCCAGCGCCTCAGATTTCAAGAGATTTTTAATGCGTGATAGCAAGGGTCAAACCAACTGTCACACATTTCTTGGCAGCGCTTTCGAAAAGATCACCAATCATTGATAGCGAGTGAGAAGTGTCTTATAAGCAATATAATGTAATACCATTGCTTTATCTTTGTAACTAGTCTGGTCAAGTACATGTTGTCATAGTAATTCAGATCCGGGCGTGGGTGAACCTGACGAAGTTCGAATTAGCAACTATTTTCAATAACGAAATGCTTTTGAAAAAGTATCATGTATAAGCTACGTTCAGACTGTTGAGCTTGATATATTTTGAATCAACATAATATTTTCTGTTGGCCGTTCTTAATGGAAGAGTTGATCATCAACATAGCAACCCGCGGTGGGGTTTGGGTGAAAGAAAGAGAAAAAAGGACCAAATGCTTACCGGGCACAGAGGTTTTGGGGTGGTAAGCTGCTCGTCAAACCAATATCAGTCCACAGACAGATTAGAGCCGTCGCTTGAATAAAGCGGCTCGAGATGCTACTCGCATCAACAGCAGTCCATTTAGACCGCTATTGCTGGAAAGGAATATCGTGATGAAGAAGGAAGACGCAGCGAAAAGGAAGAGGAACGAAATTTTTGTAGCTGGACGAGATGTCTGCGCACGGCCCCATGCGGGCTCGCTTCGGACGGCTAGTATTAGGTAAGCAGGTGCTCGATAAGGTCGGGGAATGCTTAGTTGCATCAATTCTCTAAGATAGGGGCTACCCTACCATTATGGGTAAAGAGGTCTGAGCAGCTGCGCAATTGCATATACCAATAATTGAAGACGTTGCCCACTGCGACCAAGGCAACCCCGCCGTCAACAAGGAAAGCCAGAGCCATCGGGTACACAGTGCAGCTGCCCTATGCTATGCCCGAAAGTGGCCCGACAGGCTAGGTACCTCGTCAGCCTCTGTGACGTGCGTTAGGTACCTTACCTCCCAACTGGAAACTTCCTTGGGCACTCGATGTGTGCGCCGTGCCCCTGTAAGGTATTGGCCCCCCGCCCTTCAGTCACCACCCCTCCTTCTTTTCTTCCCAGCCTGACTGCCTTGACGAAAGCTCTCCCATCCAAAAAAAAAAAGCCCACCAAACCTCTTGGATCGCTTCTTGCCTACCGTAAACACACCGACTACGCCTATAACGCAGCTGTCCTTCTTTGAAATCAGACAAAATGGCTGGCAGTAAGTCAACCCGCCCTCGTCCATGACCTGTGCGCCAGCTTTTGCACTCGCGCTTCGCGTTGCGCTGGCTCTGTTTGCCCCGCTCCTCTGACATATCCATGATCTTCTGTTCTTCTTCACCAGCCTCGCGTTGCAGATGGATGTGCGGAGAGATGGCTAACTGAGACACAATGGCAGACTTTGAAGAGGTCGCAAGTAGGTGCTCCCCTTGCTCGACAGCTCGAAGCCTGCGTTCCGACGCCGTCGCCGTTCCCCTACGACCCTGAGCCAGACTGACTCCTTCCCCGACGCAAACAGAGCAATTCATCGAGTTCTACTACAACCAGTTCGACTCGGACCGCAAGGGACTTGCTAGCCTCTATGTGAGATATCATCCGTTTCCCGGCCGGCTGGCCTTGCCATGCTAACAGCACCAGCGCGAGCAATCCATGCTGACTTTCGAGTCTGCTTCTTCCCTTGGTGTTAACTCAATCGTCGAGAAGCTTTCGGTACGTGATCCCCGAGAAAAAGCGCATAATCAACTCTGGATCACGAGTTGACACTAACACCATTACAGTCTCTTCCCTTTGAGAAGGTTAAGCACCAGGTCACGACGCTTGATGCCCAGCCCACCCTGGAGGGCGGCATCATCATCCTCGTCACCGGCCAGCTCCTGGTATGTACTAACCCAGAATATTGGGGTTGATTAGCCGTATCGAGCCCTCTTAACAATTGGGAATTTAGGTCGATGAGGAGCAGCGCCCCATGAACTACACCCAGGCTTTCCAGCTGCTGCGTGACCCTTCCGGCAACTACTTTGTCTTCAACGACATCTTCAAGCTGGTTTACGGCTAAGTGTTACGATTGTTGACGAGATACACGCGCCACGTGCCCTTACAACCCGGGGCAAGAGGCAAGAAGCAAGACTTTTGGCAGTTTAGAGGAGATGACGACTTGACGAGATCCAGACATCCGACTTCGAGGAACTGGGCATGGATAGAGATAGGGCATGAAAGCCCCCCTGCTCGATTTCTCCTTCTCTCTCATTTACTGGGGTTGGGCGAGCACGTTGGCAAAGAACGATATTATCCCAGGACCTTGCAAGGAATCAAAAACGGCTCTGTTCATTTGCGTAGCCCCTCAAAAATGGGAAAATACCCTTATTACCACACATGTCTAACACCATTGACGCCCCATGATATCGCGAATGATTTTGGCCTCGCTGTACCGTCTGATCCATGTCCAGCGCCATGTACAGTTTTGCTTTCTTGACACAAGGCTAACATGAAAGATGAACCAAAGATGAAATCCTCAAATATAGGTGTGTCCACCGCTAAGCATTGCCTCACACGGACGAGGATGTGAAGAGGGTATGTCCAGATAACGCCGTTGATAGCACACCGCTCTCTACCCCTCAGTGGACAAGCATGGACGCATCTCCTCCATCACGGAACACAAGCTGGGCATGTTTTCCGCGAACAATCTCTTCCTCCTCGCCGTTCGAAATGATGCTGCTGCTCCGATGGCCCTTCGGGCTCTTGGTACCAAACCCAAGGTCTCGGATACGGCCGCTGGCGATATCAAAAATACATCCATGGACTGTGAGACCGCGCTCCTTGATGGCCTCCTGGACGGTAAAGTTGGCCATAAGAACCTTGACCCCAGTCTCGACGTTCATCTCGGCAATCCTGACGGCCCGATGGTCTTCATTCTTGATTCCAGCGAGCTCTTCGGCGTTTTGAGCGCGGACTGCTTTTAGGGGCGTGAGCCAGGTGTCGAGGACGCCTCCGACGCGCGAATCGCCCAGCGCCGCCTTGGCACCACCGCAGGCGGAGTGGCCGCAAAGAACAACGTGCTTAACCTTGAGGTGGGCGACAGCATATTCGATGACGGCCGAGGTGTTGATGTCTGTGGGCGCAACGATGTTGGCGATGTTGCGGTGGACGAAGACGTCGCCGGGCTGGAGCCCGAGTATAGTTGTCTCCGGCACTCTCGAATCAGAGCATCCCAACCACACTGTTGGCATCATTCGTTAGCGGCACGATAATTAATCATTCGGAGGCTACGGGCATGGCTAGCAGACCGGTTCGCGCAGAAGCAATGGAACCTTACAGATTGAGGGTGACTGCCCGGAAGCGAGGTTTTTGAAAAAGGCAGGGTTTTGGTGCGACTTATATCCCGCCCATGCCTGGTTCGAGCTAAGAGCGTACAAGAACTTGTTTTCTAAATCGAAGACGACCCTGAATCAGCGACTTGCGGGAATAGACTTGGCCATGCTCTTGGCGATATAGGACTCTTTGCGGGTACTTACGGTCTTGGAACGCCATTGCGGTCAAATGGACGGCGAAGCAGCCCGACTCGACAAGATTTCCAGGGGTATCAACGAAATCAAAAAGACAGAAGGAGCAGCAGGTGTCGCCTTATTGCCGCCCTTGTATTTGAAAACACTGCGGATGGGTCCTAGCTGAGACCTGCGCAGCTGGAGTTGCTCAACCAAGGAAGCAACTGTTATATGAGACCCCTTGGTAGAGGCTAATGTTTGATAAGAAACAGAGAAACCGGGCCGGTCACGAAAGTACTGTCGCTTTTCCAAGTCGACAGTGAAGAACAGACGTCAAGCCCAAGCACCAGAGAATCTCGTCTAAGAGGTAAGCTGCCGGTCGGAACAGGTGGGGAATACAATGGCGTTGAGTCGAAACAAGCAGGCTTATTTTCCAACGGCCGACAATATGCGCAGGAAGCTGGTTGGAGGGACTCAAATGTCTGGGTAGAGCACCTGATTCCAAAGTGACAAGGAGGGCGGACACCGAATGCCGTGGTGTGACTTTGAGTCTTTTCGCAGAATAGTCGTGCCACTCGAGTATAAGTAAGCGGTGCTAGGCTAGCATGCGTCTCGAAGAGTCAGCATATGCAATGGGACTACGAGGCTTCGGCGGAGAAAGATAGGGAGGAGAGGGAGAAAGAAAGAGGGGGTGCACGAGGACTGTGAGTGACAGAAGGCAGAACGTGGGCGAGTTATGTGCTAGTGCATGGCATGCAAAGGGCGACCAACAGTGTCAAACAAGACTTGCGTTGAGATGGGCAGACTTGCAGTTTGGCGTGGGATATGAGGGGGGTTCCCCGATTGTATGGGTGATTCAATGAAAGAGAAGCTGTTGAGACCAACGCAACTGGACTTTGGCTCCTCAAGGCAAGCAGAGGTGAGGCAGGCTGTATTAGGAGAAGCCACAAGCAAGGTAGTTCGAGATCCTGCAGAAGAAAATGCGATGCTGCAAGTAGATGTCATGAGATGACATGTCAAGGGCATTCGCGTAGGAGATATGGAGGCAATATAAGGGGAGAACGATGACACATTGCTGGGAGAATATAGGAGGGTCACGTACAAGACAAGAGATACAGACACGACGGGGGACAAGGTAGTGCATCTCGCATCCTTTGGGACTGGGACACTATGACACTTGATGGAAACCTCTCCGCACTTGGAGACAGAGCCAAACACAGATCCAGACAGCCAAGATTTGGACGAGTCGCCCCGGAGTATCGACCGTGCCATCCTGGAATCACCAGGGACGAGCTCACGGCAGACGGTGAAGATCGGAGATGGTGGACTCAGGGGGGGGGGGGGTGGCGGAAGGCATTCCCTCCGCGACTCCGAGATGCGCCTAGTCCGAGTTGCGACTCTAGGATTTTGCTACTCCAGACAAGAGACCATGCATAGTCTGCCACTATCTATCTCGCGGCGCGATGTATCAGTGATTCTGACTGGTGGGCACAGCGAATTCTTGGCGACGTTTATACTGGCTGTTCGGAGTAGGTGAATGGGCTATTTATGGGACAAGAGGAACAAAAAGAAGAGAGAGGTCTCCTCGAGGGACAGACGAGAGCACAACCTTGGCTGGCTACAACTTCTGCGCCAGCCAAGAATCTCACCTCCGTCCCAGCACAGTTTGTATCAAACGAGCATACTATACCCTGTAGGCAGCCACTACCTGGATTTGACAGCTCACAACGACACGAGGCGCAACGAAATAAGAGGAACGCCCGTCTGATCCGCGGTCCGCCGGGATAGCTATGAGGCAAGTCGCGACTGGTGAGGCGGCACGGAACAACTGAACCAAGGGCGCCTCCCGGCTCTGAAACAGTCGCGTGAGTGACACACCTCAACATACTAGCATGGACAAGGTATCCTTCATGATACCTTGCCCGCTTTTCCAGCAAATCTCATGCTCTTGCCCCGACTCCGCCATCTGCTTGAATACCATGTTCGATCAGCGTTCCTCTGACAGCTTAGCGTGTGCCGCGTCCCGAGAGGCTGGCTTTTTCTTATCACGACCTCCCCACCCGAGCCTAAGTGCCCCGGAGAAGCGTCGGCATGGATCATTGTTGGTCAAGCCGCCTCGCTTCAACAACTGCAGGAAGGGGTAAAGCGGAAAGGATACGCAGAAGAAGGCAAAGAAGAAATGCTACAGCGCAACTGATGGTTGCCGACGTGTAGCCTCAAGCAGTTAGTCATGTCGTACTCACATCAGATGTATGGACCACCAGCACGCAGAGGCATTAAGTGAACGGGCGGGCACTTCCAACGCTTCTATACATCCTCCTGCTAGTTCCTTCCCCGCAGAAGGAGTGAGGTGACCGGGAAATGGTCCGGTCGTGGTGGGACAAATGCTTGTTAAACTGCCTTCGTCCTGTTGTGACAGGGAGGACTCAACACGCCTCAACACATCCCAAAGCGCAAATGACGACTGTGCTCAGTTAAGCGTGACGAGAGAGCAGGTGGGGCCTGAACAGAAAAATGTAATAAGACATTTAAAGTTGGGAGCAACGAGTCAGCTGATGATTTTGTGCTCATCAATAGATTTTGACTCCAACGAGGATAAAATAAAGGAGGACTCCCGTCGACAATCCGGACCAGGTGGATGCGGTCGATGTAAGTATGAGGCAAGGAAACACACACTCTCACACACACGCGCGCGCACACATGACAGCCGGAATAAGCTATCCTGGGATAATGACCGGCTCCGACCGGGTGAGTCTAAACAGGCGCAGTGCTTTTTGCAAGTGAAGGCGGCCATAAGGGAGACAAAAGTAGGGTTGAGAACGGTATGGGGCCGGAAGAAGACAAGCACTCCCGGCCAGAAAGCGAAGAATACAGCACACAAGTGAGATACACGGCAAGGTTCATGGGCTTGGCATGCAACAGGTTCTTAGCATCCACGGGTGCTCGAGTGCAGGCCGCACCATCTTTGATTCCTTGGCAATCATACTCGTATCTATAACAAGGCTATTCTCAGACGTTGATCTCGCCTCGTTGAAGCACTTTGAGTTTTGTGTCGAAAGACATTGGCAAATTGAAATTGGTCTGAACCAACCCCGGCTCTGTTGGAACTGCCCTTGTCGCCGATCAACCCCCACCGCCAAGTGTGACATGATGCTTTATTCAACTTCCGCTCTCATCTCCTTTGCATCGTGAAGTCCACTCCAGCAACGTTGCGAGGCTGCATTGCTACAATAACTGGCACATGACTAGATAGGGAACTTGTCGAGCAACTGACTTCCGTCCGCCTTACTGTCGATGGTAGCAGCTCTGTGAGCCTTCCAACAATGCCCAGTAAGTATTTACAACTGACACACGTTCGGCATACAATCAGGCGGTGCCTCCGTTATTGGAAACGATCAAAAGTTGCATTAACGTGCTAGCTTCGAAGGTCTGTCTTCCGTGCTCCGACTAGACTTTTAATATATATATATATTTCGGACTTCCGATAGATGGTTTGGGTTCACCTTTTCACTCGATTCTGGCATCTCGTTTCGGTCGCGGTGAGGGTGGAAACGGCGCATTTCGGCACAGAAGTATTGCATCGCCGGAACACAGCATCATGGAACCAAAACATGAACTTGAAACCCAGTAGAATAGTCATCCCGACGCCATGCCAAATTTTTATGAATCCGATAACCTCCAGTGGTCTAGTCTCCTAATACACTAAAGCAGTCTGGGTATTGATCCATCTTAGACCTTGATGGCGTTGTCGAGAGCCTTCTGCTTCTTCTCGGTGCGCTTCTGGGCCTTAGCTCCCATGATACCACCTCCCCACTGCTTTCTCGCGCTCTCGGTCTTCTCAAGGTAGCCGTCCTTGATGGCAGAGACCAGCTTGGAGAGCTCGGTCTTGTCCTCGGAACGGACCTCGGTGATGGCGAGGACAGCAGCAGTCTGAGACGTCAGCATTTGAACTGGGAGCAAAGGACTGCGGCTGCAGCGGGAACACGGGCATACCTTCTTGTGGACGACAGTGCCGAGGCGGGCCTTGCCCTTGATGATGGCGAAGGGGACACCCATCTTGCGGCAGAGGGCGGGGAGGAAGATGACCAACTCAATGGGGTCAACGTCGTTGGGGATCAGGACGAGGGAAGCCTTCTTGTTCTCGATCAGACCAACGACGTGGTTCAGGCCGTACTTGACAGTGTAGGGCTTCTTGGAGACATCCTCCTTCTTCTTGCCCTCCTTGATGGCGGTGGCCTCCTTGACGAGACGCTCCTTCTTCTCGGCCTTGGTCTCAGGGCGGTACTTGTTGAGGAGCTTGAAAGCCTGGGCGGCAGTGTTGCGGTCGAGGACGTGCTGGAACTGGGCGATCGCAGGGGGGACCTTGAGGCGCATGTTCAAGATCTTCTTCTGGCGTTGAAGACGGACATACTCGGGCCACTTGACCATGCGGGCCAGGTTGCGGCGGGGCTGGATGTCCTGGCCGATGCCGAAGTTGCGGGGCTTGCGCTCGATAAGAGGGTTCTGCAGATGGTTGTCAGCCACAATGGTGCTGCGCGAGCATCGGGGGAATAATAGACATGATGTACTGACCTTAGGAGCCTTCTTAGAGCCAGCCTTTCCCTGAGGGAAAGGGGCAGGAGCCACCTTCTTACCGGACTTGGGAGGCTGTCATTGAGAAAGAAAGACATCAGCGAGTTGTTCAAATCAACTTGTGTCTTCCCTGAACTCTAAAGAGAAGGACGGCTAAGTATCCGAGACGAATCTCCGATACCTCACACATCATCTCCAGCCAGAATCATCATCATCACCCCCGTCCCCAGCACGCAAGCGCGCCAGGAATAGATGGATAGATGGAAAAATCAAATCGCAGCGCACATGAGAGCGATCGCTGGATGATGGCCTCGAGGGCGAAAGAAGTCGTCGACGATTCAATGTGTACTCACCATTTTGTCGGTTGTCGTGATGCTGCCTTGGGCGGGGATGAATGAGGGACGGACGCAAGTGCAAAAGTCGACAAGTTTCGGCAGCCGAAGAAAAGACTTTGGGATTCGCGCTGTGGGCCAAAAGGAAAAAAAAATTAGGGCAAGAGTGGCAGTGGGCTTTCGATAAGCCGTCTCCTTCCGACCTAGGCGACAGGCTAGTCTTATCTCCACGTGACTCTGGCTTTCCGACACCCTTGCCGCCGCTTGAGCCATCACCGAGTGTAGCAGCCTCTGCTGGAAATGTCACTTCAGCCTCCCAGTTCAGCTGTCCGAAAATTCTATAAATTGTCCATGGCGCAGTAAGAAAGACTCTCTGAGCTTTCCCCGTGAAGGACAGGCCCCACGACTTGCGTGTTTGGCAACTCTAGACTGCTACTTTCATGATTCGGCATATCGTACTATCAGGTTCACTCTGTTGGTGGTGAATATCGAACCAGAATCGGGTCAGTATGTAGCCTTTCATGAGTGGTTACGAGTGAGCAATGGTCGGTCATGTATAGAATTCGATTGGCACAGTTTTTAGATAGCTTGAAGCTCGCAAGAACGATCACATGCCCATGTTGGCTGCCTGGCTTTTAGTGGTTTCCTCTCATACGATAGTCAACAATGGAGTCTTTTAGAGATCGTCCAAAGCATTACTCGGCATGGGAGTCAAGTGGTAAAGGAAAATAGTTCTGTCCATCCAGTTGCCTGCGTAGTGGAGTTCATTGAGATCCAAGGTGACCACTGACACTGGGCCGGACAGTCCAGACCATCCCACCTTGCGGTACGTACCGTGAGGACATTAGAGTTGCTTAACATTGCGAAAACCCCGTCGAATCTTGCCTCACTTCAAGGTCATCAGCGCTTGTGACACATGCGGTTCTCAGCTCCGCCTGATACTCGACCCAGAACAATCTATCTCCTCAAGTAGATCTGGCTCATCTGCCAAATCTACCGACAGCAACCAGAAGTATCCAGCATTTATTCATTATTTTTGCTCGTCCCTTCATTCCAAATCCGTAACCCGTTCTCTGGCCATCACGGTGTACCGATTTCAAAGCTTGTGACTTTGACTGAGAACAGCCCCCTGTTCAAGATTCGAGCAGAATCTAATCACCGGCAGAGATACATTTACTTCAGTTTAATCCAGTCGCCTTCTGCAAAGAGTCAGCACATTGTGTCTGGCTATCAACACCAAGGTACTGCTGTCGCCACAACCTTCCCGAGAGCAGTCACCACTATGGCCCCTGTTCTATGCGCAAAGTGCAAGACGGACCGCGCTCTCGTCAAGCGACCCAAGAATCACCAGAAGCTCTGCAAGGGTTGTTTCATTTCAGTCTTTGAAGAGGAAGTCCATCATACCATAGTCTCCTCGTCGCTCTTTTCCCCAGGAGAAAAAGTGGCAATTGGTGCGTCGGGTGGCAAAGACTCGACCGTATTAGCGAGCGTCCTCAAAGACCTCAACGAGCGATACCAATACGGCCTGGATCTTGTGCTTCTCAGCATCGACGAGGGAATTAAGGGCTACCGAGACGACTCTCTGGAGACTGTCAAGAGAAATGCCGTTCAGTACGACATGCCTCTGACGGTCGTTGGGTACGACGAGTTGTACGGTTGGACTATGGACCAGGTTGTTGAAACCATTGGGAAGAAGGGCAACTGCACATATTGTGGCGTGTTTCGCCGGCAGGCACTGGACCGTGGCGCCAAAATGCTGGGCATCAAGCACCTCGTCACCGGCCACAACGCAGATGATGTTGCCGAAACCATCCTAATGAACCTCCTGAGAGGCGACTTACCTCGCCTGGGCCGCAGTACAAGCATCATCACTGGGGATGACACATGCGATGTCAAGCGTAGCAAGCCTCTCAAGTATTCCTATGAGAAAGAGATTGTGCTATACGCCCACCACAAGAAACTCGACTACTTCAGTACTGAGTGCATATACAGCCCAGAAGCATTCCGAGGGACCGCTCGTACCTTGATCAAGAACCTTGAGCGGGTGCGCCCAAGTGCCATCCTAGACATTGTCCGCAGTGGCGAAGACATGGCCCGTCTTGTTGCAGGGGGACAAAGCAGCTCCAATGCTTGCAAGGGACCTTCTGCCCGCGCCGCCGAGGACGACTATACCGTTGGGTGTGGATCGCAGCGGGGTAAGGCCTCACAGGGGGAGATTGCTCAGTTGGATGCAAGCCTGAGCCAAGCAACTCTTGACGAAGGCCTCGAGACAGACTTCACCGGCACAGTAGCGGCGAAGAACGGAGCGCAAACCAAGGGTCGGCCTGTGCTAAACCACGCATTATCCAGTGCTCCCTTACAGACGCTGGGCAAGTGCGAGAGGTGTGGCTACATGTCCAGTCAGGCTGTATGTCAAGCTTGTTTGTTGGTGGATGGGCTGAATAAGAATAAGGCGCAAATCCGGATATAGATTCGAGCTAGGTTCCGGTTCGAGAAGGCCGTTGTTACGCCCAGTTGAGTCTCAGTAGCCTACGTGATCATTCATTCACCGAGTCCTTGATATCCGGAGCCCGCACCACCACATGCTAGGCCTGCCATCAAGTCGACTGGATCAGTGACTAACTTGATAAACTGAAAACCGGGTTCAATTGGGTAGCTGGAATAGACGAGGCAGCGTGGGATGCCATAATATTTTGATAGAATACATATTTCGATGACCACCATCCCCTACGAGATGCGCTTCTCTAACTGCGATATGATTAGCCCTATCCAGGAAAAACCGCCCAAGCAAACATACTCTCCAAGGGTTGTTCAGCTCGAAGCCCGGAGGCGCTTCGTGGTTGCCAATTTGTCCACGCAAGTCGCCCGTCAGTCTACGGTCTCGGTCCATCACTGTAAGCATTTCTGTTAGCTCGAGGTCGAGTAATCGGTAGTTAAGTTCGCCGGGAGTATATACTTTGCTGTAAAATACAATCTGATTAGCATTGTGTACGTCTTAAGAACGAGTCCAGGTAAAGAGCACTCACCCGATCCCACTGGTCCAAACCCCAACGGGCTTTTTCCCACCATTCTGGATGCCCTTGATGACATGCAGCCCGGTACCGGTGACGCCGAACATCTGTATCGACCTTAGTTTCCAACTTGGCAGCCGTGTCATCGTGTCGCGCAGGCGTCATGACTGGCGTAGGATAGCTCTTACGGCAATCATGATTCCATAAGGAATCAGCGTCTCGAAAGGAACAGGCATTATGGCGGGCGGCCGTTCGGCGGATTGCGGTTAATTGAGTATCTGAGGTGTTTCGAGTGAATGCAAGCCTGACAAGAGCGACAGCTTGTGGTTGGTTTGTCGGTAGAGGGGTCGGGTGTCGTTGAACTCCGGTATCCCAAGTTCATCAATCTGGTTGAACGAGGTGATGCGCTGCCGCAAGCCCCAAGCAGGCTGTCGGCTGGTCGGACTGGGCCGTTATTCATCACGTGATCCAATTCAATTGTCAATGTTTATATATCGGATGTGATTGGCCTGTCGCGGCTCCACTGTTGTGCATCGTCCGAGAAGCTCACCATTGGTCACTGTGCGAAAATGGAGGCTTGAGACGATTGCTCCCCAAGCTGTACCTGCCTCTCTTCCTCTCGCACTTTCCTAGGTCCCACACTTTTGGGGATCGATCTTTCGCACACCAAACGCATCCTTGTTTCCCCGTCTTATGCCTCCTGCCCACCACAGTGTCTAGGGCCCAGATTACTGTACGCGCCACGGTTTAACACAGCCGTGGAAGCTGCATCCCTTAGGTTGCGCCAGCCTGAGAGCCGGCAGCGTGTCACTTTGCGCCTCGAACACGACTTGGAAGCCGCCGCTGGCTTTTCTCCTGCCTTAGAAGAAGCCTTCGCAACTATCGCTCAACAACGCGTCTTTCGACTCTTAGCTGTAGCATTCGCCGACTGCAGAAGACGGCGCACTACTCCCGCGCGACGCTGTCCACGGCTACACGCGCTCGTTACCCTCTCCGCTGCAACTTTCGCCTAGGGATAAAACGAACCACCAGCGTCCTTACGCGCCGTTATCAGTCGACTTATTGCCACTCCATGCTAGCTATGGGCTGTGAACACCAATGTTTTGTTCATGACGGACGGATCCAGATACAATACCTCTGAACGTGCAACGATCATCGCAACAATCCGTAGGGGCGGAGCACCTTCGGCAAGATGGCAAGCGCACAACTCACCGAGGAAGAGCTGCAGCAGAGCGCGGTTTTATCAGAGGAAGACGCCGAATTCGAAGATGCACCGAATGTGCCCGCTGGTCAAATACCGCAAACGACCGAAAGCCCGTTGACGAATCCTAATACCTATGACGACGAACTCTCAGATGTGGTTGGCGACGAAGAAGAGGAAAGAGACGCAAGCGCCATTGAGGATGACGTTGAGATGGGCGAGAACCCGGATGATAACAGCGAGCTATCCGAACAGGAATCACTGGATGAGGAGTTGGATCACCAGTCTGATGAGGATATGGATCAGCACATGGAACAAGACGAAAGAGATGGCGCTTCAGGCGGCGCGCGAAGCCGTAGTAGTAGCTTGCTGGACGACATCGAGGAGGACGAGGCAGAAGGTGTCGGCGCCGTCAAAATTCGACCGGGTGAAACTGACGACGAGGAGGCAGATGAGCCTGAGAGTGATCACTCGGATTCACACAGCGAATCTGGCAACGAATCCGATGGGGACGCTGCGTGGGACGAGGTCGCTGCAGCGGATGACGATGATGAAGAGGGCTCGGAAGATGCCGCACCTAACACATGCATGTTCTGCAAGCAAGATGAAGAGCACGACCCTGCCGAAGACTTTGAGGATTTCCTGACTTGCGTCGATTGCGGCGAGAACTGTAAGTTTGATTGCTTCAGAGAGCAGCAGGACAAATGCTAAGGCATCTAGCACATCAACATTGCGCTAGGGAAGCCGGCGCTCTTCAAGATTCAAGCAGTATGTTGTTATCCCTTTCCTCGAAAATAGTTATTGCTGACGCGTCATTCCAGGAGCTTCCCAATGGAAGTGTCTCGACTGTGCATTGGGAGAAGATGCGCCAGTTAACGAAGCTGAAGGCGAAGCTGCTCAGGAGCAAGAGCATGAAAACGCCGATGAGAACGAGGACGTTAAGAAGCGCGACCCCGAAGTCGATCTGGAACTTTCGCCATCTTCCAGAAGGTCAACAGCATCTCAAGTTGCACGAGACTTGCTTCCACCCCAAAAAGGCAGTATTAAACCCGACTCTCATTCGGTCTTCAACCACCTGCTTCTAGATGGAGACCCTATGGATGGATCCCGCGTGCTTCGTAAGCGTAAGACATCATCCATCGAGGCGGATGATATCGTCATGTCGCTCCGAAAGCGCCGGCGTAACACCTCCAAAGACCGGGAGTCAAGCCACGGTGCGGGGACGTCACAAGATGGTCCAAATGGTACTAGAGAAAAGGGCTCACGGCGCAAGTTGCGTCTCAACGCCACACGCAAAGCCCAATCGGTTACGGTTACCCGGCGAACTCGCTCCATCGTCATCAAGATGCGCGTGAAACCTTCAGCTCTCCGTCGAGCCTTATCCAGAAAGTCTACGTCAAGCCGAAGAAGAGTGGAGAGGGCAGGTACGACTGCGTCGACTCATGATGGGCTAGCCGCCGCAATGACGGCTTCCTTCACTTCATCAGATTACGCACATCCCTTCTATTCCTTCTTCGACCGGGAAACCGATGAAGTCAAAACGAAGCCTTACGGCGGTATCCTTAGTGAAGCCGAGGCCGACACGTCAAGAACACTACCCACAAACGATGATCGTCGGCGGTTCGATGAAGCCAAGCAAAAAGCAGAAGAGGTCTGGCGGGCTCGTCTCCATAGCGTCCAGCTCAATTTAACGACGCCTGCCAAGAGGTCCAAAAAGAATTCTGGGCCGGCGAGCCAGATCGAGTGCATCGATTTCGGCGGCTGGGAGATCGACACCTGGTATGCTGCTCCTTATCCCGAGGAGTACAGCCGGAATCGGACTCTTTATATTTGCGAGTTCTGTCTCAAGTACATGAACTCGGATTATGTTGCCTGGCGGCATAAACTCAAGTGCCCTGCCAAACACCCGCCGGGAGACGAGATATACCGCCACGGATCCGTCTCTGTTTTTGAAGTAGATGGCCGAAAGAATCCGGTCTATTGTCAGAATCTTTGCCTACTTGCCAAGCTGTTCTTAGGATCCAAGACGCTCTACTACGACGTTGAGCCATTTCTCTTTTACGTCCTGTGCGAATACGATGCACTTGGCTATCACTTTGTTGGTTACTTCTCAAAGGAGAAGAGAGCCAGCAGCCAAAACAATGTCTCTTGCATCCTGACGTTGCCTATACACCAGCGAAAAGGCTACGGAAACCTGCTGATCGACTTTTCTTACCTGCTTACTCGCGTGGAACGTAAGACTGGATCGCCTGAAAAGCCACTTTCCGATATGGGTCTTGTTTCCTACCGCAACTACTGGAGGCTGGTTCTGTGCCGGTATCTACTGGACCATGTCGAAGAAGATAAGTCGGCAGCCCCAGGCTTGAGTATCCGGCAGATGTCTGACGATACCGGACTGACTCCCGACGACGTCATTTCTGCCCTCGAAGGCCTCAGATGCCTGGTGCGCGACCCACTAACGGAGTTATATGCTTTCCGCGTCGACTTGGCATACTGCACTGAATACATCGCCAAGTGGGAGGCCAAGAACTATGTCAAGTTGAACCCGGAGGCGCTCACATGGACACCGTACGTCATGGGACGAGGGAACGCCACAAACTTTGAGCTTGGCCCTGCCATCAGTGCGATCGCACCGCGAGAAGAGGACGACAGTCACAAGCCAGCTCAGGAGACAGTACCAGCCATCTCACAGCAAGAATCAGTTGTTGTGAATGGCCTCCCGATCAAGAGCGTCGTCGAGAACCCTCATACCCCCGACGGTGCCTCGATTGCCAGCGCAGAGGGTGCTGGCAAATACACTAATGGCTCGAAAGCAGAGCCTGACGTATACGAGTCGACGGAATCACATCATGATGGTTTGGTGAACGGCGAGAGTGGCCATGAGCCAGTCCACAAAGAGGCGTCTCGACCCAGTGAGTTACCTCATCCGGCGACTCCCGGACAATCAATTGCACAAGATTGGGCCAGCATGTACAAGGACGTACCTCCGTCGAGGTTCGAAGTCTACCCGCCTCCTGGCGGCCGACGTTCCGACCGGCCGCGGGCAAGCGTTCCCCGGCCATCTGTGCCGCGAAACGCAAGCAACAACTCGCGACCACGTCGATCCGGTGGTAGCAGTAGCACCAGGCGGCCTACCGCGAGCCGGCCCAAAAGCAAAAGCACGTCGTCATCATCGCGTCGGAAGACGGGTGGAACTGGGCGCGGACCGGGCCGGTGGCCTAAGGGCACTAAGAAAAGCGATTATGGCAACGCCGATAGCGGACCTGGTCTTCCACCGGGTTGGGTCAGAGACAAGCAACGGCCTGCGAGTCTTGGGGCAGCCAAGGGTCAAGAGGACGAAGGACTCAAGTCTGAGAGCAAGGAGACGATTGATGTGGTTCGGGTGCAGTTCGAGGACGGAGCGCAGGTGGCTACGGGCGGAAAGGTAGCTGGGGGTGATCACAGCAACCATGGAAATGCCGATGACCCTGCGGAGGATGAGTGAATGCCAGACAGCCGATACCCCCTACTACTGTTGTCCGCGATGGCGTTTTAGATGGCCTTGTTATATAGTGTACCTAATAGTGCAAAAGCGGCATGTTATATTTGAGCCCTGCCTGAAGCAGCTCTCGTAACGTGGCAGGTGAAGTGACGGGCTGGTAGATGCCAATCTCCGTAGCGTAACCTTGACATGTTGGTGCAGAGATGGAATGCTCGGTTCCCGTCTGTTCTCTATGCTTGTAGTCAAGTGATTCAGCCTAAGCAGATTCTTGGGCGTAGCATAGAAGAACAGTAGTTGGGCCAAACTGCGAAGCAGCCTTGGGGCATATGATAGAGAGGCTTCGTGACTGATTATAAAGAACGAGCAAAGGAGGGGGGTTCCTCCTTTCGCTTGATTGTTCCATCAGTCGTATTTCAGTATTGTTTGTTTAGCCGACTGTTGCTGAGGGAAGCTCTCGCACTCGGTTGCAGCAGCGCAAGTACTCACGAGGTATTATGATCCTCGGGACAATACCAAGGGGCCTGGTCCCATGCTTGGACAGGTGCGGGAGAGTTTTTTGGGCGCACGGCGTTGCAGATCACTCGTGAGCATCAGACATGAATCTCGCAGCCCTTCCCCCCAAGCTGTACGGTAGCATTGGAGTGGAGGCGTCTGAGCAGGTGAACGCGTCACTGCTGCATGCAGCTCACGGGGCATAAAGAAGCTCTGCTACTTGAAGTATGCCAGTGCCGCTACAAGGGTATTGATGCCGATAGCTGCATATATCGATCAGATTCGATAACGAAGAGAGCGGTTGACGGGGCTAGGAGTCTACGGCGGCGAGCTTTCTGCGCCTAACTCGAGGTGACTGACTGATTAACGGCGTGTTTCTTCTGACCTCATAGTCATCCACACTTGCCAGCCACTCCACAGTCTTCGCCAGCCGTTCCGACCTTCCACCGACAGGGTAGCTTTGATTGATTTCCACATCAACCTCTCACCAGCATTCTGGGCTATGTAACGAACATACCTCGGCATAGTGCACGTTGCACCTTGCAGTTAAGCTCACTCAGCCTCTCTGGATTACTTGTCAGCTTTTCCATTCATCGCATGCAGCTAACAATCCTGGAACTGAAGCCACCAAGCCGTGCACGCTCTACCTTACACAGCGACTACAGCGCTGAACGTGACGTTCTGCTTCTCAATTTCTCTTCCTCGGGGCCATCATTGTCACTTCGCCATGCCTGCTACTCTTGGGGACCGAGATTCAAGAAAGTAGAATAAAACAAAACCCTGGGTAACAATAGAGGCAATGAGCGACAGTATTGTGCCTCTATCGTTCGGCTCGGACGTCCCGGCATCAAGGTGTCCGTCAGCGCCTTGCCCTTCAGGGTACTTTGGATGTATCACCTCTGCTACATAGCGCTCTGGTGGTACTTGGAGTGTGGCTGGAGGCCGACCTTACACAGCCTACAGGCCATTCGTCTCCGCCGCCTGCCAAGTAGCATTACGCACACGCACCCGTGGACCTCAGAGGTGGGTGTGCAACACTTCAACACGCTGCAAGTATTGCCGCCCGGTGCCACAGCTAGTGCCAGTGCCAGTGCCTTGTTTCTACCAGCATCCGATCAAACCAGCCTGGACAAACTTTACTCTTCTCCAAACACCATATTTCCCGGATCTTGACCCTCAATCACCAACCAAACAGACCGTCGTCGCGAAAACGCTACTTGATTGTCCGCCTGCCCTCTGTGTGCCGTGCTTTCGACCTCACGTACCAAGACCCGCCCATCGTCGCCTGGGCTTCTTCTCTCAAGGTGCTGGCGAAGTCGGCCCTTGCGACCCGTATCCCTCAGTGTTTCTCCTCCGAGGACCGACGCTTGGCCTGCGACGCTCAGTGCTCAGCCGCCCTTCGATTCGTGGGACTAAGCTGTCGTCACAACCGCCCCTCCCACATCCAACCTCCGCTCTCTTCCATCGTCGACAGGTACTGTTCCTTAGCCGCGCATCAATATCGCTCTCCGACAACACCATCAACGACAACCGAGTTTTGGTGCTTTTGCCCGTCGCATCATCATTCTGCCTGCTTTGGGCCCAAGCGCTCCGCCGCCCAATTGCACTTGGCTACCTGACCCTTACGCCGTTGTCTCCTCGTCCAGCGTATCCGACAGCCCACTTTCCCCGAATCACATCCAACCTCCTGCCAGACCGGGCATCGCGTGCCAATCCCATCGCTCCTCTTCAAAGATACCACCACCCACCCAGCTTCCCGTTGACGACCAAACACAACCGCCAAAATGTCCAAGGTCATGCGAAGCGTCAAAAATGTGACCAAGGGTTACTCCAGCGTCCAGGTCAAGGTCAGAGAAGGTGCGTCGCTCTGCCTGCTTCCTGCCCCTTCTTTCCCACCCCCCCTGTTCCGTTGCTAAACGATGCTTCTTCAGCCACCAGCAACGACCCATGGGGTCCGACCGGAACCCAGATGAGCGAGATTGCTCAGCTCACGTACAACACGTAGGTTTCCCGTGTCCAGACGAGCCAGGCCGAGTACTAAATGCGATGGCAGATCCACCGAGTTCTATGAGATCATGGACATGCTCGATAAGCGACTCAACGACAAAGGAAAGAACTGGAGGCACGTCCTGAAAGCTCTGAAGGTTTTGGACTATTGTCTGCACGAGGGTTCCGAGCTGGTCGTTACGTGGGCGAGGCAGAGCATCTACATCATTAAGACATTGCGCGAGTTTCAATACGTTGACGAAGATGGCAGAGACGTCGGTCAGAACGGTACGCGCTATCTGAAGACTTTCCCCATCGCCTGTGGGTGTGCCTTGCTGACAGCAGAACAGTGCGTGTTGCTGCCAAAGAACTTACAGCCCTCATCTTGGACGAGGAGAGGCTACGAGCCGAGAGAAGCGATCGCAAGTCATGGAAGTCTCGCGTCACCGGCCTTGAAGAGTTCGCGCCCCAGCACACCAGCCCTACCCAGCCGCGCGTCCGTCGTCGGATGAGTAATGAGGACGATGCCGAGTACAGACTCGCCATCGAAGCTAGCAAGCATCAGGAGGAAGAGGATCGCCGGAAACGAGCGAGCCGCGCTGCTCACGAAACCGAAGATGATGATCTTGCCAAGGCCATCAAGCTAAGCAAGGAGGAAGACGAGCGCCGCCGACGAGAGTTGGAGGATAACAATGCTTCGCTACTCTTCGACGACACCCCAGTCCAGACGACGCAACCCCAGTACACCGGTTTTAACCAAGGTTATCAGCAAGGCAGTGCTGTTGACTTCTTTGCGAACCCGATCGATCAAAACCAGCTCCAGCCGCAGCCCACCGGCTTTATGCCCAATGCCTACACGGGGTACCAGCAGCCGCAAGCGACCGGTTTCCCCAACGGCTACGGTGGTGGTGGATTTGGAATGCAGCAAAACATGACCGATCCTTACGGACAGCAGCAACAGGGATTCCAACCGCAGCCAACGGGCTACAACCCCTATGCCCAGGCACAGGTTCAGAGCCCCGCCCCTCAGGAGCCCGTTGCGCAGCCTGGGAGCAACAACCCTTGGTCTACAGGCTCGATGAAGCAAGGCAATCCGATGAAGCCCATGCAGACGGGTTCCAATAACCCGTTCGCCTCATCATTCGGTCGGCCGCAGCCTCAGAGCCAGTCTTCCATGCCTGCTCTTAGCGCCCTCCCGGAGCAAAAGACCCTGTCTACCTTTAGCCAACCCAGCTATAGCCAGCCCAGTTTCAATCAACCTCAGGCGACTTCTAGCCAAGGTACCAACGCTTTCGGCACCCCTCAAAAGGAACTCACGGAACACGAGGTCAAGCTGAATGCTTTGCTTGCCGGAGGAGACGGCATGGATACGTTTGGTAACACAGGTCAGACGCGCATTCCCGCGCAGCACACGGCCCCTGGGACGTTTGTCAACAGCGCGGGCACCGGGGCGCAACGCCTCACGGCGGAGGCGACCGGCAACAACCCATTCCTCCGATCGCAGTACACGGGCATGCCCAACATCTCATATGGAGGTGCACAAATGCCTGCGGCGACGGGTCCCGCCGGCATCAATGGCAGCAACAACCCGTTCGCGGCAACGAGGCCACAGCAGCAGAACACTCAGCCGCAAGACCTCATCCAATTTTAGGCTGTGTTTCATGGATAGGAGTGCCTGGTCGGTGCCGACTGCTTTTGATCGGCATTGTCCAAGCAGGTTGCAGTTGGGGCGTGATGACCAAAAATGCTTCTTTTTATTGTTATTAGAGACTTGGGGGGAAAGGGGGATTTATTTTGCGATGCGGACACATACCCGTCAGAGGACTCAACTTGTTCCTGTTCATAGTTGGCTGGCGGCTTGCTCCTTCTTTTACATTTACACAGCTTGCGCATATTGCTCCAGAATGAGCCAACTATTCTTTCCACGGTCATTGGCGTGATGCTAGAAGCGGGCGTTCGAAGATGCTTGTATTGACGGCTTCGGTTCGCTTGAATGCGCGTATCCCTGGCTTCGACGTGACAGGAGAACATCGGGAGCAACCTGGTTTTATGCTGGCCATATTAGTCCATCCAGCTCGGATATTTTCGTTGGAATCAACGAGATGAAACCACGCCAGGTGACATGTAGGAAAGAATCAAGAGGGGACAAGGACACATCCGCAATTAAGCACTGTCCGCTTCAGCAATGTATTCAATTCTTAAATCGATCCGATATTTTTGGTTTCCTTTTTATTCATATTTTATTCTTTGATAGCTTCCCGTCTGCCTGTATAAGCCATCCTGATGTTGTCAAAAAGTGTGGTCTGGTGACCTAACGTGACCAAGCAAGGCATTCTCGCAGTAGCAGTCGGAGTGCGTGATTGGACAGGCTGAGAGGTATACTTACTAATGGATCGGGGCGGATGCTACATGCTCCTGCCTACCTACTCCTGCTGCTCCTGCCTGGAACACCTTTCGAGCTTGTTCATTGGTCACAATCTCGAGCTCTTTCATTCGGACGAATCAGAGACGGTACCCGTCCTCAGGCAGCAATCGCCGGAAGCTACCTAGCCACAGGAGCTACCACCTGCTCTTACCTAAGCTACCCGCGCTATTCTTCGTTGCAACTCGGGAAGGAAGTGTCAAGCCCAGCCCAGACAGACTAAAGCTGTCTACTCGACCTCAGCGCCGCCAGCCTACTTAAGGTATTCGACTTCTTCGCATCGGCACGCGAGACAGACGTACAAACTGCCATTGACATTTTCGCAGCAGCAACCCTCCACCGGCCAGAGGAATTTGCCCTTGCTTTGCCGCCGTTGTTGAGGCCTTGCCTACCTGCGTCGCTGACCTTTTTTCTCCCTTCTGTTTTCATCCCCCCTGCCTGGCCCCTTTCGAACCCGTCGCCAGCGCGCGTGCATCCCTTCCACCCACCCCAGCCACTTTTTCTCCACGTATCTTTCCGTTCCTTTGCGCGGCACCCATCGAAAAAAAATCTCGACTACCGGCAGTAATCAACACACCTCACACCAAGTCACGTCGCGAACCGGTTCAGACGACGCGCCTACAGGCCATCAACACCGTCGGCGCCTTCCGATCGAATTGCGCTGCATGTCCGCCCGTAATTGATTGTCGGCGACACACCCAGCGTCCACGAGTTGGCGGACCTTCGCCTCGTCGCGCCATCTATCCTATCCTCCCCATCCTCGACCGCATCACGAACCTTCGCTGCTAGTCATCGCCCATCATGTCTGGTTTTGGCAGTACCGGCTTCGGCGGCTTCGGCTCGACCAATAATCAGCAATCGACTGGCTTTGGAGGATTCGGGGCCAACAACAACACAAGCACTACCAGTACCGGTAAGTCGAAACCCATTTCGTCGCAACATACTTATTCATTCTGTTCCATCATCTCAACTCCCCCGATGGCCTGCCAACTAACTTCCGTGTGCTTAAGGCTTCGGCTCTGGCAACACAACAAACAATGCCTTTGGATCCACCAGTAACACCAGTACTGGTGGCGGCTTGTTTGGTGGTGGTGGCAACACAACCAGTGCATTTGGCGGCACGTCATCGGGTAGGTTGTTCACGCTGTTGCGGGGAGTCTGCTAAAATCTTGAGCTGGGTCTGAGAAAATTGGTATGCTAACTTTTACTCTCATAGGCGGCTTCGGATCTAACACTGGCACAGCCTTCGGGGCCGCGAAACCTACCTTTGGTGCCACCCCGTCCACCGGAGGCGGCCTTTTTGGAGCCTCAAACACCACCAACAACACAGCTACGACGTCCACGGGCTTCGGCGGCTTCGGCGCCAACACGGCGACGAATACCTCGTCCCCGTTCGGAGGAGCTTCCTCCGGTGGAGGTCTGTTCGGCGGCGCCAACAAGCCCGCTTTTGGCTCTACCACCAACACGAGTACTCCCGGTAGCACGTCGTTGTTTGGTGGTGGAAGCACGTCTGGTGGCTTTGGCACCACTACTACCGCTGGTGGTGGTTTCGGCGCATCGATGAACCCCGGCATCGGCTCCAACGTCGGTGATCCGCCAGGTACCGCTCTTACTCCTTTCCAAGCACACCAAGAGAAGGAGACTACGGGAGCAGGCAACCAGTCAAACTCATTCCAAAACATTCTGTTCCAGGAGCCGTACAAGAAGTGGTCGTCCGAGGAATTGAGACTGGCTGACTACGCTCAAGGACGCCGTCACGGCAATGCCAGTGGTACAGGAGCTTTCGGCGTTTCCAACTTTGGTAGTGGTGGATTCGGCTCGACGACCAACCAACAGTCCTCGGGCTTCGGAACGGGCACCTCTACCGGAGGTGGTCTCTTCGGAAGCGGAAATAACGCCACCAACACAACATCAACAACCGGTGGTTTCAGCGGTGGCTCTACCGGAGGGTTCGGTTCTGGCGGTGGTGGTCTCTTCGGAAACAATGCCGCCAAGCCGGCTACTGGAGGCCTCTTTGGCAGCGGCACTACAGCCACGTCGCAACCTGCTCAGTCCGGCGGGCTCTTCGGTGGCGGTACGAGCACTGGAGGCGGCTTTGGGACTACGGGCACGACCGGCGGATTCGGCGCCACAAACACCAACACAACCGGTGGTCTTTTCGGCTCGAACACCAACAACAACGCAAACCAGAACAAATCGACAGGCTTCAGCTTTGGAAACACTGGAGGAGCCACTACTGGTGGCTTCGGAAGCACCACAAACACTGGCTTTGGAGCGAACAACACCACAACCAACAACACCGGCTCTACGGGTGGGTTGTTTGGCAACACTGGCCAATCTACCGGCGGTGGGCTTTTCGGCAACAACCAGTCGCAGCCCCAACAGCAGAGCACGGGCTCCGCGTTTGGTGGAGGTGGAGGCTTTGGCGCACAGCCTCAGCAGACCGGCGGTGGACTTTTTGGAAACGGCCAGCAGAAGCCGGCAACGGGCGGCGGTCTCTTTGGAGGCGGTGGGACGTCGAGCACCGGAGGAGGCCTGTTTGGCGGTGGCAACACTTCTTCGAACACCTTCGGTACTGCCAATACCAACAACACCGGCGGTGGACTCTTTGGGGCAAAGCCAGCAACCGCCGGCGGCGGTCTCTTCGGATCCAATACGGCTGGCCAGAACACAAACACTGGTGGCGGCTTATTCGGCGGCGGGTTGGGTACAAACAACCAGCAACAGCAGCAGCAGCAGCAAACCGGACAGACATCCCTGTTCGGCGGTGGTCAAAACCAGACGAAGCCAGGTGGGCTTTTTGGCTCTTCTCAGCCTGCGGGCGGTGGCTTGTTTGGAGGACAGAACACGCAACAGCAGGGCTCCTTATTTGGAAACAACAGCCAACAGCAGCAACAGCCCCAGAATTCATTCCTCGGCGGCTCACTCCTGGGAAATTCCCAAGGTGTCAACTCCGGTCCTCAATCCCTCACGGCTAACATCAACGATGTGTCTGCGTATGGTTCGCCCTCCTTGTTCTCCAACCTCGGAGGGTCTGAGACGCCCAATCCAGGTCCGCTTGCTACGCCCCTCTCTAGCAAATCCAAGCCCAGACGCAGCTCCATTCTGCCCATGTACAAGCTGAATCCTGCTTCAGCCGCTCGTTTTGCGACTCCTCAGAAAAGAGGTTTCGGATTCTCTTACAGCACGTATGGTACTCCTGGTGGCAGCCCTTCGAGCGCAGCAAGCACACCTGGCGGGGCGAGCCGGAGCTTGCTTGGGTCCTCTTCGATGAACCGAAGCTTGAGTAAAAGCGTATCAACCAGCAACCTAAGGAGAAGCTTTAATGCCGAAGACAGCATCCTTGCGCCGGGTGCTTTCTCAGCCAGCTCTGGACCTCGTTACTATGGTCAAAATGGCAGTGTTAAGAAGTTGATCATAAACAAGGACATGCGCAGCGACCTGTTCTCGACCCCAACGAAGGAGAAGCCTTCTGCCGACCAGGCCAACGGCTCTCGCAAGCTGTCCAAGAGGGTCAGCTTTGACACTAGTACGATGGACGCCCCCGACGGCGATGACAATGAAAGTGCCATTGCGTCTACCCCCAGGGGTGGCGCGATTGCACAGGACGCAACGCCCGCCGCTGCCAATGTCAGCGGAGCCAAGCCATCGACCGGAACTTCCACAGACTCGGACCCAAGCAAGGGCAAGGAGCTCGCCATCGTTCATGAGGAGGAGGCATCTTCACAGCCTACCGAGGTTCATAAGGAAGGCTTCGACGCGGCTCCTGGTGCCTATTGGATGAGCCCTACCAAGGAGGTTCTTGCTTCCATGAACAGAGTGCAGCGTCAGCAAGTCACAGGCTTCACGGTGGGCAGGGACAACGTTGGTAGTGTACAGTTCAAGGTACCTGTTGATCTTACAAACATCGATCTGGACGAGATCTTTGGAGGCATCGTCATTCTGGAAACCCGGTCGGCGACTGTCTATCCCATTGCAGCCAAGAAGCCCCCCGTGGGCAAGGGCTTGAACGTTCCTGCTACTATTTCCCTGGAGCAGTCTTGGCCGCGTGGTAGAGACAAGCGACCCAGCAACGATGCCAAGCGATTCCACAAGCACATCGAGCGTCTCAAGCGCATTGAGAACACGACGTTTGAAAGCTACGATCCTGAGACAGGCGTTTGGAAGTTTTCGGTTGAACATTTCACTACGTACGGTTTAGATTACGACGAGGACGAGGACGAAGTTGAGCAGCCTGTTGAGGAGCCGTCCCGCGAAGATTCGTCTTACAGCAATGCATCCCAGCAAGACTCGTATGACTCTGAGTCAAGCCCCCAGGAAGACGACACCTTCGATTTTCGCAGGAACAAACGTCGCGCCCTGCCCGGTGCATTCGACTACCGGGACGAGGACTTCGGCGAGGCTGAAGATGCGCAGCGCCCTTCTCAGCGCCAGTCTTTTTTAGGGGATAGCTTCGCGGGTTCGGCGTCCAATGCGCTAATTTTGTCGACGGAAGAGGAGGTCGACGACCAGGACAACGGATATGGCATGTCTGAGGATGAGGACACGGTGGGAACCCCCCTCAGACGCCATCTCGCCGCGGAGCAAACAATCGACTCGCCAGAGAATGATGTTGTAGCCCCAGCAAGTGAAACACCGGGTGGCATTCTTAGGGCTAGAATGCGTGCACTCAAGGGCTCGGCTACGCCCATGAAGCTTCAGGTTGCTGGGGGAGACGAGTGGATGGATATGCTTCAACGCTCTGTCAGCCCTCAGAAGAGGGACAGAGCATTGCTACGAAGCGTGAACGAGGCGGCATTGCGGCCGGCTGCCGAGGAAGTTGAAGCAACAAGCCAGAAAGGCCGAATTGTATCGGACGGATGCGGGTTCGCCACGAGCATCGATTTGATGAACTCGCTGTTTGAGAAGGCCAAGGCGCCCTCTGCGTCTGCACCCTCTAGAGGATTCGTTCAGGTTGGTGAACACTTCATGGTCTAAGGATCACCCAACCCCGTTTGCATTGCGTGGGCTGGGGCCTGAATGGCTTTCCTGTATTAATATGTGACCATTTGACTAAGGCGAATATTAATCTAGTGGCCCTATGAACGACAGACCAAGTCCTTTGTTGACCAGTCCGACATGAGTGATGCCGACCGCTCCTTTTACAACTCGATGAGGCCTAGTTGGGGACCTGACGGAACTCTGGTTTTCGCCTCTACCCGCTCGGCCCTTGAGGGCGCTGGGAGTAAAAACACGGCTGACAGCCTCATGATCACGAAGAACGTCATCCAAGCTCAGGGTCGCGAGATTCAAGTAGCCAAGTTTTCCAACGAGGTAGGTGGTGATTCTCTAGGAGCGAACGTGGAGGCAATGGCTAATTGGTAGAAACAGGCGTCCGCGAAAGCCCTTGAGAATCAGATCCAGATGACGCGGATAGAGCTTGCCGGAGGCGTTCCGGAGCCATCGTTGCACCCTACGACGCTCAAGTCCATTTTCCACGACCAGGACGCCAGCAACCCTGCTAACATGCACGAAAAGCTAGTCTGGGAGCTTGCGAGTATTCTCTTTGACGCAGCTGGAACCGCCAACGGAGCGTCTGAAGCTGGACCCCGCAAAAACACCCTTTCCCAGTTTTGGGCGACACTCGTCGACTCTGCGTCGTCGCGATCCGTCGCTCTCGCGAGATCAGGTGAAGAAAAGGCCATTGCTGCCTTGTCTGGCCACCGAATTCAAGACGCTTGCAAATATCTTCTCGACGGCAAAAACTTTCGGCTTGCTACCTTGGTATCTCTGATTGGCAGCAATGATCAATCCAAGAAGGACATGCGCGAGCAGCTTAACGAATGGCAAGAAGCCAACTTCTTGTCTGAGTTTGCCGATCCTATCCGGGCAATATACGAACTTCTCAGCGGTAACTCTTGCGTTTGCGAGGGAAAGAAGGGCGTTCCCCTCGAAGACCGTATGGAATCTTTTGTTATCTCTGAACGGTTCGGTCTGGACTGGAAACAGGCCTTTGGCCTACGTCTCTGGTACTCCATCTCACGCGAGGACGATCTTTCTGCCGCCGTTCGTGTTTTCCAAGATGACGTTACCCAGGATAGAGAGCAGCGGCCGCAAACATGGTATCTCGAGCAAGGCATTCCAGCGCTTTGGCAAGATCAAGACCAGGATCAGCGCGAGGACCTCTTGTGGGGCCTTCTCAAACTCTACGCGGACGAGCAAACCGATCTAGAGGCTGTGTTGCGTCCAGAAAACAGCCAGCTGTCGCCTTTCAACGTCCGTCTCAGCTGGCAGCTCAGCCGCGCCCTGCTCTCTACCAACAAGGTGTCTTATGGTGCTGACGCAATCGAAAAGGCCGACGCCTTGACAATCTCTTTCGCCGATCAGCTGATCAACGAGGGAAGCTGGCTCGAGGCTACGTTTGTCTTGTTGCACCTGAGCCAGCCCGAAGTCAGGGCCAAGGCTGTGCAAGACAATCTCTGTCGCCATGCTGGTCTCTTGGGGCCCGAAAACGGTACAAGCTTTACAACCCTCACTCAAACCTTGAAGATCCCGTCTGCATGGATCTGGGAGGCTCAGGCTCTCTACATGAGGGCTGTCAAGAAGGATGCTGCCGCTGAAGTGCAGTGCCTGCTCCGGGCAGGATCATACCCGGAGGCCCACGAGGTTTTCGTGCACAAGGTGGCACCATCCGCCGTCATCAGCCGCGACTATGATGAGCTGGCTTCTATCCTGTCTCGCTTTGAAGGTCACGACGACGACATCGCAGGCTGGACTCTTGGTGGCGAAGTTTACAAGGCGTTCCTGGAACTGGTGAACCGTCGCAGGCAGCGACAGCAAGCCCTCTCACCTGTTCTCGAAAAGTTGGTTGCGGGTTTGCCTGCCATGCGTGAGAATGCCGAAAGTGCCAACATCACGAGCTTGGCAGCCATTTTTGAGATGGGGTCGACCGTAGCTAAGGTGATGGTAGAAACTTCTAAGCAAGAGCAGGTATGTCGTAACTCAAGTATGCGCCCACGTTGGACAGTGCACTGACATATTGCTACTGTAGGACGTTCCCCGAGTATTAGGTCTTCCTCTCACGGAGGACGCTCACCTAAAGCACTCACTGCACCTGAGCCTTTCCTACTATGAAGGACTCATGGCTGGGGCAAGATAAATAGATTTTGCATAATGGAGACATGGTTATGTGGGACGAAGTAGAGAAGGCTACTTCTTTGGAGCTGGGCATTGTGTTATACATGTCCGCAGGGCAGGGGAAAAGGAAGCAATAATGTATTATGTTGTAGGTGTAGCTGCATTCTGGGATATCCAGAGCACATGTGCGTTGCGAGTATGACATTGTCCATAAGACAACAATTACTTCTCTTGTCCAACTTCTAAGTATCCTCATAGTTTCACCCGGAGTTGTGGGATGTAGGCAGTGTCCGTAGAGAGGTGAGGTCGTCCGAACACGTCTCAACGCGTCGCCTAAATTCAAGACGGACATTGGATGGAACCCTAGGTAGCCCGAGCGTCTAACAACAGACATATGGGTGGGGTCGACCCTCTCGTTCTCAACCTCTGCTTAAGACGGGGCAGGAAACTGTGCCGGTGTCCGAACTGAAAACCTGTCAGCTCAATTGTCGGAAGAAGTCCGTCGACTCGGCCTAATTTATTCAAGAATACCGTAGATCCGATCCCAGGGAGAAAGAGAAAAACGCGACACCTCATGGCACAGCCTAAGAACTGGCCGGCAGGGCTCCCGTATCTCTCAGCCCCGGCACACTCCCGGCTCCTAACCCCGGCCCAACGGCAGACCATCAGCCAGAAGTCGGCAGATCTGCCTGACATCCCGGCGCAGGCCACGGTTCTCCCGAGCCCGTTGGTCAAAATCACGCCCATCACAGACGACACGCACCCAGCCAAGGGTCAGAGCGGTCTCTTCGCGGCGCGGCACCTCAAGCCGGGGACCTTTGTCTTGCCGTACCTGGGCACCGTACACCCAGAGATGCCGTCCGAGTCAGACTACGACCTGTGGCTGGACCGGGAGGCCGAAGTCGCGGTTGACGCGGACAAGAGCGGCAACGAGGCGCGGTTCGTGAACGATTATCGGGGAATTGCGGAGAGGCCCAACGCGGAGTTTCGCGAGGTTTGGTGTCAAAGATTTCGGCAGCGGTGTATGGCGGTTTGGGTGCTGCCTGAAGGGAAGAATGGTCGTGGGAAGGGGGGCATCGGGAAAGGGGAGGAAATCTTGATTAGTTACGGCAAGGGGTTTTGGGGGACTCGGAAGAACGAGCAGGGTTGATGTTTGAAAAGGGCGATGGTTGTTGCTAACTCTGCCTTGTTGCTCGACCGAGGAATAGACTGCGATTCGGAGCATCGTCCATGAGAAGACGCACCAAATTAGCCCGCAATGAGATACATGATGCTCAGTCGGGAGTTAAGCATATCTAGCCAAATGACACCGAGACTTTTGTGAAACTTCTTTAAGGACTCATCAGTGAACACCTTCGTCCCTCCCCAACAGTGTTGCAGTACTCATTTAACCGAATACATGGGGATGAGGACGGGGGCATCCGTGCACCCGTGAACAACAGAGATAACAGGAATGAGGGTGGTGGAAGCAGTGGCGTGGCGGTAGATGATACAATTTCTAAGTCATTATGTTCATCTTCAGCGACATACCACCTATCTGGCCCGTTTCATCTCTCGGGGTCTCATATCTATCTTCCAGTAGACCAACTACTTGGGTTTGCTGTCACGTCTTTCTCCTATATCATCATACACTATTTTACTCATCGGGTATGCTTGGCCTTGGCGAACCTGGCGGAGCTGAGGCATTCGGCAAAAGTTTCGTGGCGCAGTAGGTCGGCAGCCGTCAGGATGCCTGATATCGGCATTCCGTGCGGATGTCGAGAACCTCTTGAGCACGTTGGAGAGAGGTGGTCTTCTCGGCGATCCGCGGACGGTTACATCTGCCAACTTGTAGTGGAGCTTTGGTAACAACCAGAGAGGCACATGAGTCGACTAGTCGGTGTTGGAAGGGGCGACTTCGGACCGACAGCACAGCGATTGGTGTCTCTGGTCGGTGTCAAGGGCCGCCCAAGTCTTGACCGACGTCAATGATTGTATGCTACCACTCAGACTTAGCTACGCTATGCTCTTAGTAGTGGTGCCCACTGGCGCGCAGTTCGAGTGCGGGAACCAGAGAAGTGAAATAACCGAAGGCGCAGCATCCACACGAACGGTCCAACTCCATGTGACACAACTGAAAAGCAGACAGCGAGGTGTCCTCAAGATGCAGATAAGTGGTCGAACGAGGTTTGGGGGACACGCGTCCTAGCCAGACATAGACGCCGAGTCATCGTATTCTCCATCCCGACTCGGACAGGTGTAGATGTGCGCGACGCCTCACTGGAGCCTGGCGTTTGTGCTATAGAGCCCCCGAGACAAAACGGTGCTTGTCGTATTGCACAAGTCATGAAATCAACACGACTGCGGGAAGCCTACGGCACGTAGCATGCATGGTATCTTGCACCGACCGGCGTGGAGATAAGATGATGGGTGTCGCACACATAAGTCCCTTCCTCAGTGGAGGCTCAAGCATTCCACGACCCAAAAGCACCATGACTTTTTGCCCAAGACTTGGGCTGTGAATCATGAATGGAATGAATGAGGCTGCTTCTGCTACTACCTACCTTGTTGTCAGCCCCGCCCAGACCTCGCATACCTAGGCACCCTACCAGTTGCCTGAGCTCATGGTGCCAAGTCGCCCGCAGATTGCCCAGATTTGCCCAGACGCCCGGTTAAGCGAGGTCGAAGGATCCGAGCAGACGTTGTCAAGAGTGAGTGCAAAGCGGGTAAGAGTGAGATGAACGTGTGCATGGGACTGGAGACGGTGGGGGCCCGGAGTTCGGGACAATTGTTCTCGTTCAGTGGAGAATCACCGTAAAGACGACGCCCGACGTCCACTCACACACCTTCGTCTCATTAGGTAGTACAGTTATTATTTTCTGTCTCGGCAGGAGGCCCCCGGTCACTCAAAACACAAGAGTCGGAAGGAACTGATGGGAAAGGGGTCCGCCATTGCCCTTTGGACGGGTGGCGTTTAGCGCGTTCAACCCAGATCCTCCACAACACGCCTTTACCCTCACTCACCACTGGCACCTACAACTTCAGGTCCTTGTTTGGTACTGTTTGTGGCCGCAAAGGTAACAACAGTGAGCCGTTCTTTTGTTGCTTGATACTGCTGCTTCATCTGGCTCCGACCCGAGGAACAACCCTGGTTGAATAAGTTCATCGCAACTTCTCCTCTTCCACCATCTGCATCGCTTCCTCGCGCTTGTACTTAGCTCGGCACGTCACTTTTTTGAGATTCGTTCGGTTGTTGCCCCCGCTTCTCGAACGTCGAAAAAGAACATCATCAAAGCTCTCTTCAACTTTTCATCCATTTCCGTCTTTTTCGGGAGTAACCTCCGCCCACTGTCAACCGCCCAAGAGGCATATCATCATCTTCGCCCAGGCACCCCGGTCTTTCACGATCTTCAGGCGGCACCGACAACAATACTAACAACACTGTATATACCCCATGCAGCCAACTACTTTGACTGTTTACGCCTCTGCCTTCATCCTTCTCCTCAAAGCTCCGACGTCGTTACGTACCGTTGATAGACAGTTGTAATAGCTGGGGGCAAAGGGATCTCCCAAGTTCATTTTACCCACCTCAAGACTCGATCGCATCTTTCGACAACGAAGCCAACGGCCCCTAGAAAACGATTGAGAACTTCAAGCACCCGCCTCAGGCGACTCTCGTCAATAATGGCGTTTCTACGCCAGACGTCGACGCTCACGGTGAAGAATTGGAAGATTATACTTCGCCACGCCGTTGCCGCCGTCTTCATCGCATTCATCCTGCCCATAGCTCTGACGACCTTCTTCAGCTTCGCAAAGAACCTGTTCGTGCCGCCAGCCGTCTACGGCATCTCAGACCCACGACATATTCGATCCCTTCCGGACGCCCTCAACGTTGCGGCAGGCTCCGGTAGAGAAACCGTTGTGTTTGTGAACAATGGGTTTTCCGGAGGCGACATCGACAGGGTCATCGACGCCCTAGCAAACTCTGTTGAAAGTGCCGGCAAGACGGCCCTCCGCCGCTCATCTACCACCGATCTTGGCACCGATTGCCCTACTAACCTTCGCGGTGTCTCCCAATGCTACGGAGCCGTCGTGTTCCAAGCCTCTCCATCGGAGGGCCCAGGTGACTACTGGAACTACACCCTCCGCAGCGACGGAGCTCTGCGAAGCATTGTCGTCGATGTCGATTCTGACAGGAACGATGCCCAAATCTACCTATTGCCACTGCAGAGAGCAGTCGACGTGGCCATTGCTTCCGTTCAGTCCGGTTCATCGTCCGGGTCCGGTCCGTCGCAAGTAGAGCAGGGCCCCCTCCCAGAGACTGTCGACGAATACCCCTTCACGTCGATCACCCAGGAAGAGCGTGCCGTAAGGATTCGCATCAACTACCAAAGTGCCATCACTAACTGGATGGGCGTGGCTTTCATGACCAGCGTCCTTTTCGTCACGTACCATCTCACCGGATTCATCGCAACCGAGCGCGAGAGTGGCATGATTCGTCTAGTCGACGCCATGATGCCCGTCAAACGCAGATGGCACGCGCAGGCTGCCCGTATCATTTCATATCACATCTCGTTCAGTCTGCTTTACATTCCGGGTTGGGTGATCGGGTCATTGGTGTTACGCGCTGGTGTTTTCGCGCGAACCGGCGTTGGAATCGTCTTGATATACCACCTACTCAACGGGATAGCCATGGTATCCCTCTCCATCTTGACCTCTTCGCTCTTCAAAAAGGCTCAGATCAGCGGCATTGCGGCTATACTCGCCATCATGCTCCTCGGAATCCTTGCACAGTCCATATCTTATCCGAGCACTGCCGCCGTGGGGTTGCTCAGTCTTCTATTCACGCCTTGCAACTACGTCTACTTCATCACGTACATGGCGAGATGGGAGCGAGAAGATTTGCCGACTAACCTGGCCGAGGTTGCCCCAGGTAGCCCCTGGCAACTCTCTGGTATTATCCTCTGGGTGTTCCTGATTATTCAGATCTTTGCCTACCCTTTACTTGGAGCTCTGATTGAGTCATATCTTCATGGCACTACTACCAAAGGCAGGAAGATAGTCTTCAATCCGACCAAGTCCCGGGACGGCGGAATTGCGGCCGACGGACCCCGGCCGGACGATACTGCTGTGCGCTTGCAAGGTTTCACCAAGATCTACAGCCCTTCTCGAATCCGCCGTCTCTTCTCCTTCATCTCACGCCCCCGCGATCACGTTCGTGCCGTAGACAACCTGACTCTAGAAGTTCGCAGAGGACAAATCTTATGTCTTTTGGGCGCCAATGGCTCTGGGAAGTCTACAACACTGGACTCGATTGCTGGCACAAGCAAGCTTACAAGCGGCACTATCACCATCGATGGCACTGGCGGACTCGGAATTGCGCCCCAAAAGAATGTCATGTGGGACGACTTGACGGTAGAACAGCACATCAAGATCTTCAACAGACTGAAGTCCCCCGGGCAAGTCGCTTCCAAGCAGGAGATTCGCGACCTTATCCGGTCCGTTGACCTAGAGCTGAAAAGCAAAGCCATGTCGAAGACGTTGTCGGGGGGCCAAAAACGCAAATTACAGCTCGGCATGATGCTTACTGGAGGGAGTGCCGTTTGCTGCGTCGACGAAGTCAGCAGTGGCATTGACCCTCTCTCGCGACGTAAACTCTGGGATATTCTCTTGGCAGAAAGGGGACGAAGGACAATAATCCTAACGACGCATTTTCTGGACGAAGCCGATCTCCTCGCAGATCACATTGCCGTTCTGTCCAAAGGTACCCTCCGTGCTGACGGCTCCTCGGTCGAGCTGAAGGACCGTCTCGGTGGTGGGTATCGAGTCCACGTGCACAAGGATACAGGAATCAAGAACGCTCCCGATGTTGAAGGAGTTCAAAAGAAGATATCTTTCGACCTCATCAGCTATATTTCCCCGTCTTCAACCCTAGCCGCCCAGGTGATTCGCACTCTCGAGGCTTCTGGAATCCACGAATATCGGTTTTCGGGGCCGACCATCGAAGATGTGTTTCTTCACTTGGCTGAAGAAATCCATGGAGAATCTGGCAATGTGATCCCCGATTCCGGGTCGGACCTGAACGAAAAGAAAACGTTTTCAACTGCATCGGCTGAAGCCCTTCCCGTCGGTGCCCCGCCTCAAGGGGGGCTGCAACTGCTAGATGGTAGGCAGATTGGCTTCATGGAGCAGGCAGCCGTACTATTCCGGAAGCGCATCACCATTTTGAAGACCAATTGGATTCCGTACTTCACCGCATTCGCTTTGCCTGTAGCAGCTGCTGGCCTCGTCACTCTGTTCATTCAAGATCAAGGGCAAAGTGGATGTGCGCCTTCCGAGGATCGTTCACTCGACCAGGCAGAAGGAATCAGCCTCACAGATTTTGCCTGGAAACTGGTGCTTGGCCCGACTTCGAGGTTCGATCTCAACACTGCCTCTAGCGTCCTTCTCCCAGTGTTCAACGCTGCTGCTGGCGGCTCCGGCTCTGGAGGCTCCGGCTCTGGAGATGCAGCGCGGATCCTGACCGAGAATGCCACCTTCGTAGAAAGTTTCCAGGCCTTCCAAGACACCATCTTCGAGCGACGGTTAGAAACCCTGCCAGGCGGAATCTGGCTGGGTGGCGATTCTATGGTACCAACCATCGCGTACATGGCCAACTACAATGGCCTCATCAACCCGCTGCTCACCCAAAATATCTTTAACATGCTGCTTAGCAATGTCACGGTTATGATGTCCTGGGCGCCCTTCGCCACCCCCTTCGCCAGTTCGGATGGAGACGGGCTACAATTCATCGTGTACAGCGGCATCGCTCTGGCTTGCTACCCAGGGTTTTTTGCACTGTACCCAAGCCTCGAGCGACGACAGGGGGTGCGCGGGCTTCAGTACAGTAACGGTGTCCGTGTCTTGCCTCTGTGGTCGTCTTATCTCGCATTCGACTTCCTTATCGTTCTCGCGTCCACAGCTCTTGTTACCATACTCTGGGCCGCCTTGTCATCCGTCTGGTATCATGTCGGCTTCATCTTCGTAGTGTTTTTGCTCTACGGCTTGACTGCGATCCTCCTGGCGTACGTGATATCTCTGTTCTGCAAGACAGCGCTGTCCACGTATGCCTGGGTCGCGGCCGGACAAGCGGTTATGTTCCTGGTCTATCTGGTCGCCTATATGTGCACGGTAACATTCTCGCCCGTCCCACGAATCGACGACAACATTCTTGTTGTTCACTTCGTCATCTCAGCCGTCGCGCCTATTGGCTCAGTCGTACGGGCCATGTTCTTGGCCTTAAACCTCTTCTCGACGGCCTGCGACGGGCGGCATCTTGCATCAAACCCGGGTGGTATTCTTCAATATGGAGGTCCCATCTTGTACTTGCTCCTGCAGTCTATCGGCTTGTTCGTCATTCTACTTTGGGCCGATAGTGGCTCTGTCGGAACGTCGGCCCGGCGACTTTGGCAGCGACGTTACCATGACGAGACGGAGGACGCAAACGCATCTGACGAGGAAGTCGCAAATGAGGTGGCTAGAGTAACCACACAGAGCAGCGATGACGGCCTGCGGGTCATGCATCTGACTAAAACATTTGGGAGGAACACAGCCGTCGACAATGTAAGCTTTGGTATTCAAAGGTCTCAAGTGTTTGCTCTTCTTGGACCAAACGGAGCAGGCAAATCGACGACCATTTCTTTAATTCGCGGAGACATCAAGCCAAGTCGAAATGGTGGTGAGATTCTCATCGAAGACAAGTCCGTCATTCACGATCTGCCTGCTGCCCGCGCAAACCTTGGCGTGTGTCCCCAGCACGACGCGATGGACTTGATGACGGTTCGCGAGCATCTCGAGTTCTATGCTCGTGTACGTGGTATTCCCGATATCGGCCACAATGTTGACGCTGTTATCCACGCGGTCGGCTTGCAGGCATTCTCGACACGAATGGCCCACGCTCTCTCTGGAGGCAACAAGCGCAAACTGAGTCTCGGCATTGCTTTGATGGGCAACCCGAAGGTCCTCATCCTCGATGAGCCGTCGTCAGGACTGGACGCCGCCGCCAAGCGGATCATGTGGAAGACGTTGGCCGCCACGGTTACGGGCCGATCCCTCCTATTGACCACGCACAGTATGGAGGAGGCTGATGCTCTCGCAAGCCGCGCTGGTATTCTTGCCCGACGCATGCTTGCTGTCGGTACGACGGAGGACCTCCGTCATCGATTCGGCGATGCCCTGCATGTCCATCTGATCAGCAAGACGGCGCCACACACTACACCCCAAGAGACCGAACATCTCCGCCAGTGGGTCATGGCTACTCTCCCCGGAGCCGACGTGGAGGAGAAGACGTACCACGGCCAGATGCGCTTTTCTGTACCTGGAAAGGAGGTTATCAGAGCCTTTGGAGGCGATAAGGTCAAGGAAATCACACCAGCAAATGATATATCATCAAGTGCGGTTGGCCAGCTGGCTGTAATGTTGGAGGAACAGAGGGAGTATTTGGGTATCAACCATTTCAGCGTTTCGCCAACAACACTTGACCAGGTCTTCCTTACCATTGTTGGGAAGCATAACATTCAAGAGGAGGGATACAAGGCGCCCGAGAAGAAGTCCTGGTGGCGATGCGGCTTTTGAATGGCCAAGCATGCATGAAGACAAGCGAATGGAAAGAATGATGGAATTAGAGCGCACAGGAATGTCATCGCTGCTTTCTTCTGTGACTCCAGATACCCAGTACATTAATAATGCTACCAAAGTAGTTTCCTAAACTTAATATAACATTAATTAATTATTGTCGGGGGATATGAAACGGTGAACCGTGGGCGTCTGTCGTTGCGGTCGCCCCTTGTTCTCTGTGCTAGCGCCATTGATATCGCACAAACACTAGCTGGTGACATGATATTTTCTCAAGAGTGATGTCCTCCGAGTTGAATGACGCCAACGTTTCTAAAGGCTGCGAGGCTACGCTTCCCGTCATCGCTTCGGTTCCCTGGCCGAGAAAATCCCTGCCACCACCACTCTCATGATCTTGCTTACTAACTTAACCTTGTTTCTTATATTGGCGCCATCGTCTTTCTCGCCGGCTTCGCCGTTCCTTCCTCTCTGTTAAGTCCCCTTGTATTACGATAATGATACCAGTATGGCAAGAGATGAGGCAACAGGGTAGAGAGGAACAGGAACAGCGAAAATTATAACTTCATGATTCTCTCTCCCGGTCTCCGGTTGCGTGCCGGCTCAAAATGGAGTTCCATCTCTCCGAAACTGAGACGGCTTGGTAGAGCTGGAAGGACTCCACACCGGTCGCGGACTCAGAGGACTGGAGTTTGGCTTAACAGGGGTAATGGTGTCCTCACGTACGCTGGCTAGACCGAAGATGGTCTCGCTCGACTCGTTTGTTTGCTGCTTATAAGGCAAGCCGTAGGTGGTCGACCTGTCATCCCTGAGATGGCTTGACCGTGCGCTGGACATTCCTGATTCGGCAATACCCTTTTCTGTATCATGTGGCTTTGGAAGACTCGAGTACGCCCGCGTCGGCTGGGTATGTCGCGTGTCAGTCTGGTGGCTAAGGACAGATGAGAGGTTCACTCTGCTCATCAGCCCCGGGAACATCTTGGTCAGGAGCGGACGGAGAGTCGGCAGACAGGCGCATGTTACGGCCGACGAGATCTCACCGAGAGACCAAAGGGAGGCTTCAACGTTGGTCCAGGTGAAGTCGGCCGATATGTTCAGAAATTGCACTCTGACAATGCTGATGGCGACAGTGCTGGGAAATGTTAGCCCATCGAGCTATAGGACAAGGTGTTCACGCATAATGAGCAAAGAATGTTGGCAAACTTACAAGAACCCTAGGCTGAATATACCTATGAGGAGGATCTTTTGCTTTCGCGGCAGGCTGAGGTGCCAGAAGATGGGTATCGGCAAGGCGAAAACAGCGACGTCGGTAATGATGTTTCCCGCGGCGTTAACGTACCACTGCGGCTGGTTCGGAATGCACTTGGCTTTCACCGACTGATCCCAGAAGCCGGAAACTGGCATGCATTGGAGTGCTGATATAAACAGCTGAGAGGTCGCCCAGGCTCCCACGACGAGCAGGGCGACTGCATAGATCTTGCGAAGCCTCGGGACAACCATGACTCTATAGTATTGGCAGAGGAAAGAGAGTTTGATGAAGAGCATGGCAAAGTTGTAAGTAACTATTGATATCCAAAACAACTTCATGTACTCAGTAATGTCTTGTGGGGTTAGGAGGACAATATGTCTCCCAAGGCCATGAGTCGTCACTGTTCTTTAAGTCAGCTGCTTGAGTTTCTGCAAAAAATGTCTGAATCAACTCACTAAGTGCGATGGTAGTGCCGCAGGCCACTGTGGACAACTGGTATTAAATGTTAGTCTCAACGTTCTGTTTGAACAGCAATAGCTTTACTCACCAGAGCAGCAACGGCGAGATAATCATCGACGCCATACATTCGAATGATTTTCGTTCTTGTATAGGCTCTCAAAGCAACCATTGTGGTTGCGAAGAGAACACAGAAGACCACAGATCCGATGACTGTCATTCTCTTGTCGTCGGCGTACACTTGCGGAGGGATAGACGTATTCATCTTGGCGACGGTGTAGTAGGGTCGTAGTGCAGATGTGAAGCAGAGACAATGGAATATAAGCCAGAATTCAGTTGAAACCGACAAACTGACGGGCGCCGCCCGTGTCTGAAGGTCGGTGAATAAGAAGGTAGAGGAGCAAAGATGAGTCGGTCATCTCAGTTGGAGATGGTTACGAGCTCATCGGGGATATTGGAGAACATATCAGAAGCAGAGACCTCCAAATAGAAGCAGCGTCAGTAACGAACCGGTTCAGGGTTTACTTGGAGAGTTCGAAGTTAATGACAGGAACGAGGGGGTGGCTAGAGTTTCCCAGGCAGCGCTTTCGTAAAGGATTACCTTTTGAGCCTAGAACGAGTCCAGCACAATCCCTCCTCGTGTGCTGCTGTGCCCATCATCAGCGAGTCATTTCTACGCTGATAGACTAGGAGGTTCGTTATTCCGAGCATCTCATCCCGGCACGGGCACACAGCCTTCTTCGCAACAAATGCGCAGCATATTGCTGATCAAGATGGAAAGAAGGGGGACAGAGTAACTGGGCCTCTCGTCGTCTCGCTACTCGCTTTAGCCGTCTATATCACCTGAGAAACCACGGGCAGAGTCGTAGAACCGCGGGGGACACACTTCTTTCCCGGGTCGCAATTGCCATTGATCGAGGGAAATGGGGCCAGAGAGAGGGGGAAAAGAAGCCTAGTGGTTAGTGTCAGCCAGAGACGGGGATTGTTGGCATATACCTGGCTCACGGTGGGGGACGGGAAGTCTGCGCTTCCATCTTTAGTTTGTATATCCCGTTCAACTTCGCTTCCATCTCGATGTTGCTTTCAATGGGCTGCGGAGGGAAAGATACGTGGGGGCCCTGTGTGGTTTGCGGAAGAGGAGAGTTTCCATGGCGGGAAGTTAGTTGAACGTTTGACGCAAAGAAGCGAAATCTGTCGTCGAGGGCTCATATACTGGCTTGCAGCAGAGAAGACGAGAGCCTGCCCAAGGTTGAACATCGGATACAGGGTTGAGTTTCTTTCTGTCGACATCCTATGCACGGAGGCTCTTCGCGGACTGGCCGGGCTGCCCATGTCAGGATGGGCATCTGTTCAACTCCAAGCTCGGGCTTGCTTCATTGGCAGCGAGAATGACCTCGGCCCCTAAGAAAGAAGGAAAAGCTGAAGCCCAACGCCGATGGGAAGTTAAACATGTATCTACATCTGTGAGCTCGCGATGGCAGCGGGGAACCTTGTTTGATGGTCCCGGTTGGTATGGCATGTCGAATCAGCATAAAGCATTGAGATGCTTGAGTTCAGAGAAACGCTCAGTCCTCAATCCCATTACCCTGCCATTCCAAAGCGGAGGGTGTGCTTTGCTACAATCTCGCGTGCTCTTAGCTCGAGTGTCCAACTCGTTTCCTCTCATCTTCCTCTGCTTGCGGTTCTTGCCTTGTTCTTGTCACCCCACCCTCCGTCTCTGTTTTTACGTCCCGGCTGCCCTCAATCCCGTGTTTTGAGACAGTGACATTGTCACGATACAAAGGATGATGAAGACAGGAGAGATTATCCAAGACTGAACTGGACGATTGCAGGAGATCATTCATTGTCAACCTCTGACAAAGTCTATCTGACACTATGCACCTATTTTTGTAAGATTTTCTCCCTTCTCTTTGACACGACACGTGGGGACCAGAAGCGTCGACGCAGATCTTTGGGATTGCCGGTAGACGGATCAGCGCGATTTGCACTCGTCCATCGGCAGCGAATCGTCACGGAAGCCAATGCAACCGAGCGTCCGGGTTCCCTGCCTCTATGATCTACTCCAAAGGCCGATTCGAGGGTCCGAGTCGTGTCCTTGTTATTCTTGCCCAGTTGCCGTTGCCGTTGCCGCCACCATCACCATCTGCCCTGGGCCGACAGACATTCCGGAGTGCAAGGGTAAAAGATACGTGGGCTCGTCCTGACTATAGACGACGAAACCGGGAGGTTTTCTCTCATGCTACGGTGGTACATTAGGACAAACCCGCCAACTCGCGGCCTAAAGTTCATGCTCGTCGTCCTCGGAGTCTGGTCATCTGCAAGGTCCTTCCCAACCACATCCGACGCACCGGCTGCTTGGACCAAGTCTTGAACTGCACCCGCACTCCTCCACATGCCGTGTAGCTATTGCTTGCGTCCGTCTTCTGGTCCTCTCTGTCTATGCCGGCGTGTATCTCCTGAGGTGACAAAAGGAGCTTAGCCTATTTTCCGTCGCACCTTGTCCGTCACATACCCACAGCTCTCGAAGTTGATTGGGCAAGCAGGACGTGAGCGGTTCACTCACGTATCGACCGCATGGAGGGACCATCGCGTCATAAAGCCCGGACCTGACACGTTTGACGAACCCCAGCGTGCCAAGCGCGTTTGAATGACATCGCAGCGTCCAAATCAAGGAGGAGAGTTGTTTACCATCGCTTGCGAGACAGAAAGTCGATACCACCTTTTCTTCAGCGATTCTTGGGGATAGTCGTTAGCCTGACAAGACGATGATAAGATAGTCGTCCGTGTTGTGAGTGCGAGCTAGCCCCCAAGGCATGTATGACTCGAATGTTGTTGAGTCCAAGGGTCCATCGCTCGACTCCTGTCAGTCATAAGAGCAAACCTTGTCATGGCTATGTGCTAGGGTGGCAAAACGGATGATGACCCATTTTCACAATGTGCCTTCACCGCGACGCCATCTGAACCGACTCTGATTCGGCTTGCGAAAGAACAACAACGGATTATAGCACGCAAAGAAGCTAACAGAGGAGAGGCTTGATTCCTAGGTTTCGTCTTTTCCATTTGGCTCTTCCACTTGTCCCTGATTCTTGTGCCCTGGCTTTTCTTTACCTTATTGCTCACCTAAAAGGGCATGGCTAAAGAAAGGCAGAGACAAGAATGAGTAGGGTTGTAAATACTATACCTGCGTATCTACCGAGTCAATAATATGATAGGGCCGAATACTCAAAATTGCCATCACTTTGCTTTTAGGTATACACTGTTATTGGTACTGATAGCTTCAGTGCCACGAGTAAGGAAGCTAATGCAGTAATAACGTCTCTGCACATATCCGGAATGCAAAGTCAGGTATTGAGAAATAGCATTTTCCCTGCTTGCACTAAAACATTGTTTTTATCTGGTTCTTCATCCTAGAATTTGCGTGGCTCTCTGGAACAGAGATTCGAGCCTTTGTCGTGGTGTTACTGACTTGACCGTGAACGACCAATTAGTGTTAGCCAAGTAGAAAGGAGGTTAGGGTAGAAGCTCCCCGAAACGAAACATTGTAGGCTGTATATAGAGGAAGAAGCAGTCCAGGCTGAAGCGAGGTTAGCAATCCACCTCAAGGCATGAAATCAGTCAAAGTCTACCACAGAGAAGAAAAAGAACCGGGGTGGTATATTGCACTGAGGAACTGTAAGATGTGACATTTACAATATGCAAATATAAAACGCCTCCCAGTGCCGAGCTTTATGAGCCGCCGGGCCGCCGGGCCCCCTTTCCCTTTCCCTTTCCCATGCAATCCGTATGCTTTTGCCATGGTATCATTTCCGTTTCCACTTTGAATCTATATCATCACGCTTCAACAAGCCAATGCCCGATTTTAAAACACATCCCGTCACTTGGACTACAAAACTCCGTGTTCGCGAGACGCCATCACGGTCGTCACTGGTGTACTCCTCGCGGAAGAATTAGTCGCCAGCGCAGCTCGACGAATGCTAGCTGAACCGCCAGCGTATCTGCAAAGATGCAAATGAGGGAAAATTTACAAAGTCCTGCCATCATGCGGATGGCGGCTTATCATCTTTGCCACTACCCACATACTCGCATGGCACCCAAAAGAAATAGAAAGAAGATAGTGATAATACGCTTTCCAGTTGCCGGTTCGGCTCGATGCTGTGAAGCCAGCAGGTTCTCAACTTGGAGCGTCAGGTGTAGAATCGGTAGTTTCCTTCGACAAAAGGTCTTTGGTCGGGACCTCCGGTGTCTCTGTCGGCGTCGTTTGGACGTCACCGTCCTTGGCCCTATTCTCTCGGAGGTTGAACCAGCCACCATGCTCCCACTGGCCTGGGGCATACAAGCATGTCGCACGGACGTCGTCCTCTACGATACCTAGCAACAAAGTGTTGAGTCGCTTGAAATCGATAGGCTTGAGGATCCAGCCATCGAAACCGGCATTTATGTACTTGTCCATCTCCCGCTCGATGAGGGATGCCGAGACAGCAAAAATAGGTATTCTGCCGTTGTGAGAGGCTATTGCGGAGTGCCCATCATAGTCACTAGACTTCTCGAAGGCGCGTATCATTTTCGTGCTTGTAAGCCCATCCACAATTGGCATCTATAAATCAACGAACCGGTTAGAAAGACAAAGTTGACGAGGCAAACAAACGGGGCTGATATACCTGCATATCCATCAGGACAACATCGAAAGCCTTAGGCTTCTCGTGGTAAACGGTTGCGCAATCTTCGCCATTGACGGCGTGAGAGACCTGATGGCCAGACTTCTCCAAGCGCTTTCGCAGAATTCTTGAGTTGATCGGATCATCCTCAGCGATGAGGACCTGCAACTTGGTGTTATCGGCGCCCGAGACAACGCTCGGGGCAGTGCCTATAGTGCCAGCGTCTGATGTCCCTGGGGCCTTGGGCTTGTCAAAAACCTCGAAGAGGACTCGTGAAGATTCGCTTTGCTGGGGCCTTGACGGCTGGTCAAAGTATTCGTCAGGTACCTTGACCGCCCTGACGGGTGTTTTCGTATCCGCAACGCTCGCGTAGCCAATTTCGGGAGGCTTTGACGACTCGACAGTGTAAATACTCGGATTACTTCGCCGCGAAATTGACGAACCCATCAGTCTGGAGGCCGAGGCAGATGAGGCATTGTTCCCCTCCGAGGATGTTGGTCGATTGCAATGTTCCTTCGAGTACTGCCGATGAGCAGTTGGCCGGTTCGGGTCAGTTTCTCCGATAGAAAGAGGCGTCTGGATTGCGTCGATCAACCGTTCAGCATCGCTTCGAGAGCTCCGCCCACTGTTCTTGCTACCTCCTGTAGCGGCGCTCTGCTTGCTTTCCAGACTGTGCGTCTCGGCGGCCCCCTCATCTGCCGCTCCCTCCTGGAGAACGGACAGTCTACTTCCTCTATCGATAAGCGTCAACTCGCCATCGTTATCCGGCAATATCGCTGTCGTGACAGACGCGATGCTGGACGCTGTATTAGACTTGGCAGACTTCTGACCACCTTCAGCAGGCACAGGGGCGTCCTCGGGGAGATCGAAGGGCAACTGAATAACGAATCTCGACCCTATCCCTTGTTCTGACTTCAAGCGCAGCTGGCCGTCCATATTGCGAACGATTCTGGCAACAACGGCCAATCCCAACCCTAAGATCCTAGTGTCTTTGCCGGGTTCAGGGTCTTCCGAGGTTATGAAGTTGGACTCATCGATCTCTACGCTGACTTGCTCGAGGTCTCGGAATAAGGTGTCTAGTTGCTTCGCAGTCATACCTTTTCCTGTGTCTTCAACAACAATTTCGATGCGTACCCGTCGATCCAAAACCTCGCTAACGTATAACTCGACTCTCACTGAACCCTTCGAAGTGTTCTGTACAGCATTGGCTGCGACATTGGAAATTGCTTGTCTCAGCCGTCGGCTATCACCGCAAACATGCTGGGGTAGACCAGGATGCTCAATGACCCGATACTCAATGCCCTTCCTCTTGGCATCGTTGGTGAACGGATCGGTCGCTTCACGGATACACATTCCAAAATCGAAGACCTCATCCTTGATCAGATTCTGTCCTTCCTCTGTCTTGGTCAAATCGAGCAGGTCGTTGATGACGTAAATCAGCGACTTGGATGCTGAATGGGATTTAGCAAGGTTTTCGCGGGTCTCCTGGTCGAGCGAGCCTTCCAATGCAATTTCGAGATAGTTGATGATGGCGTTGAGTGGCGTCCGGACCTCGTGGGCGGAGTTTGCGAGCAACAACCGTGTAAGGCGACTGCTCTGCAACGCTGCTTCCTTCTGCCTCCAAACTTCGATAAACTTGCCATAGACCAGACAAAGCACCGCGGCTGTCTCGACTTGTTCCTCTGACCATTCTCTGCATTTACCGAGCACCGTCTCATGCCAGGTTTTAAAGCTCTTCCTGGGCTCCAAGTATGCAGCTGTGCCTTCGCGTAACGTCTTCTCGTACGGATTTCCGGCCCACTTGACCTCCTTGACCTGACCTTTCCGAAAGAATACGATGAAGTCGTTACCTCCAACACTCAAAGGAACATAAAGCAGTCCTGCAATAACGGTGAACCCCAGAGGGTACCGTAGATCTGGAAAGTCTTCGCGAATATCCTGGGACGTAACAACGGATGTCAACTCGCGCAGCCGCAGGTATTCGAGCATAGCTAAAGCCTCTTGCGACTGCTCAAGGTCGCCAAGAATCTTTGTTTCTCCTTTGATGGATAGCATGCCGAAGTCGGCGTCGAACAGCTTCAAAAGATCGTCGGAGGAAGCGATAATGTAGCCAGAGGGATTTTTCTCGGTAGGCGCTGTGTTGATGAGTTTCCGTGCCTGTAGTCGAGTGGCATACGACAGTCTTTCGATATTGCGGGAAGCGGTGTCCCCTACCAGACGACACATTTTGCGGATGGGAAATGATACACGCATGCCCTTGCGGCCGTACGAGTGACAGGCAATGAGGCCCCACAGTTCGTTGAAGGCGTTGATCGAAACCGACATGGAAGACCGAACGGCCATGTTTTTCAGGTACTTGAGGTGGATCGGCGACATGGCGCGAAGGTATGAATGGCTGAGATCTAGCGGTACGTCGAGGTCTTCCTTTGCTTTGCAAACAAGACGGGCGGTATCCAAGTCCCGGTCGTAGAGGAGACGTACTTTGTTCAATTTATATAGCTCGCGAGCCTGCCGTGGGATATCGGAGGCAGGGAAGTGCAAGCCCTTGTACAGATCTTTGGTATGCGTGGTGTCGACGAGCTCTGTAACAACCTTACCATTGAAGGATGAGTCGAACTGGTAGATCATGACGCGGTGAAAACCAGTCAGTTCCTTGACGATGCCTACTAGGATCTTGAGGAAGCCCTCCAGGTTTGGCGCCCCTGCGAGTTGTTCCTGTACTTGGGACATGATGTCAAACACCTGCATGGCCCCAGCGTCACCTCTGCGCTTGCGTGCACTCCGTAAAACTCTCAGGGGTTTGCTCAAGATCTCAGTGCTCTCAGCCAACTCCTCGGATGTTGGGTTTGATTGCAGCGTATCTTCAGGGGTCATGGGTATGGGCTCGTCCGGCGGCCGTAACGGGAACTGGTGGTCGTCATCGACTTCGAATTCGCAGATGATCAGATCGGGATGCGCCGGGTTGATGTGGATGGCACACCACAGCTTGACGCTCTTCTTCTTAGGTGGGCGAACGGATATGCTGAAGACCTCTGGTCCGTTGACAGCTGGGTCGGCATCTTCGTCGCGGATGAAATCGATATGGTCAAGCAAGTTGTCTTGCTGTTCCTCGCTCAAGATCTCCAAGAAGCTGTTGAGGCGGAACAGGTGCTGTGGCGAGTATCCCATTAGCTTCCCCGTATTCTCGCTGGCATAACGAACGGAAAACCGCCCATCGTTTTCTTCGCGAACAGCCACCAAAGCACCAAATCCCTGAATAGAGCCAGGAGTGTGGATAGGTTCATCTTCGCACCGCTGAAGAACACCATCGGTGCCTGTAATCACATGGTGACCTCCGTCCGTCATGACGTACTTGAATCGCGTCGTTAATAGGCCATCGTTGCCCGTGTCGCCGAGTGCGCCGGTGGAGAGAGACGTTTGGTGTTGTGAAGAATCGTCTCCTGGTGCCGAGTCCTCCTCGCCCTCTGACGCATTATCTTGAAATATTTCGAGGGGTTGCGAATTGCCTTGACGTGCGGCATCGGCTTGAACGCTGGATATTGGACCAGATCCTGCGATTTTCCTTCTTGTCTGGACTCCTTGACGGTCGCTTGGCGAAGTCATACTGGACAGTGGTGTAGAGGCGGAATCACGACGAGAGAAGGATTCAAGAGCGGCGGTATCGATACGGGGGTTGGCCGGACGGGGGGCTTGATACTGGCCATGGTCGGGTACTCGCGGGAAGTAGTCGTGCTCACCGGAGGTCCTACCAGTGCGGTCAACGCTCACAACGGAGCGGATTGGGAAGACTCGATCTGACGGATCAGGACTGGCACCATGGCCCAGCTGGCGGTCGGAACCGGCACTCCATGATGAACTACAGCTGGGTGTTGCAGCGGCGGCGGAGACGGGGGCGGGAGCTGAGGTGGTTGCGGCGGATGGGTTTGGCAGCTGAGGCGCTACAGAGTCGGGGTTCACGCTCGCTATGGGAGTCGCCTCGGAAGAATTGTCTGTCGAGGAACGGTCGCCGAAGGTTATGGAAGGCCGCTGCATGTCGGACTGGGAGTCCATGCTTAGGAATCAGAGGTAGAGACCTAGAAGTCTATAAACACCCAGGTGGTCGCGAGCAGGACAAGGCCTTGCCGGAGGCTCAAAGGTCCGCAGTGACTGGGATTTGGCATGAGGCAGAAGCGCAGGAAGACGAGAACCTTGGTTGGATAAAAAACCGGTCACCGTTCCAAGGCGTAAAGGGAAGAAGGGTGAGGACCGGGGATATCGAGGATGAAAAAATGTTGGTGGAGAAGAATACCCCGGGAACTCGACGGCGAGCCGTCGCCGTGATCGAGCCCCTTGTTGTACGTGTGCTCGCTTTTCGCTGGTTGTTCGCGGGGCACTGCGTTTGCAGTGCGCGGGATCGCCTGCTCGATCAGTCGGGTTGGCGAGAGAGGGGCGTGCGTTGCGGTATGGAGATGTCGGGGGGTAGGATGCGATTGTGTGCGGCGACGACCGACGTTGGCGGTGCAGTGCTTGGCTTGGTCGGGGTTGGGAAGGATGGGTGTGCGTGCAGGCAGGGCCGGCTCGCTACGGTCGACGAGCAGCAGTAGGAAACGAAGGAGGAATGAGAGTCGAGAGTGTGAGACGTCTCGATTTTGGTTGTTGGCCTGTCAGAAGATGCAGATGCGGATTACGCGCGCGTTGTAGAGAGGGAGAGACGTGCAACTCTCAGCCCTCAGATTCCTCGATTTTCGGTCTGCGGCGGTGGTGGCGTAAGAGGAGGAGAGGTAGTGAGTAGGTACTACTACAGAAGTGAGGTAAAGTGTGGGTGGCTCCGTGGTTTGGTAGAGCGGCAGTAGTGGCAGGAGTGGCAGAAGCAGCAACTACCTGGGAGCAGTGAAAACAGCGAAACCAGGACGCTACTGCCTTTCTCTCTTGTCTCTTTCTCTTTTCTTCTCTCCTATGCTCGACGTAAGGTTAAGTTACCGAGCCGCAATGTTCAGGATGTGTTGGGGAGATAAAGATATACGAAGTAGGTACCCTAAGCCAGACGAGAAGAACCGAGGAAATGGGACGGGAGGCGAAAAAGAATAAGGTATCAGAGAGGCAGGTTAGGGAAACAGGTAGCCAGTCCAGTCCACTGTCGCTGCTGTGGCGTGGCAGCAGAGAAAGAGGCGGGACGAGGATGATGGCAAGCACCTTGGCCAATTCGAGAGTGGCAAGGAGGAATCATCATAAACGGGCAAGGAAGGCAAAGGCAGAAAAGCACTGCACTGCTCAACATAGCATAGGCCCAAGGGCTGCAAGAATGCAACGCATCCAACACACGGCGGCATGCCCTGCAGCTTCAGGTAAGGCGAGACAAGGCGAAGAAGTTAGGTACCCGACGGCAAAAGCTCAGGTACCTTCAAAGTCTATCGGTAGCATCAGGTTGAGTTAGGTCACGTCAGGTTAGTTTGCTGCAAAAGGCAGTCAGTATCCGTCCGGTAGGCAGATGCTGTATCCGTACTGCAAGCCAGGACAAGTCAGATAGGCATGCCCGAATCCGTCTGGATCCAAACACCGCCAAGGAGCGCTCATCAGGTGTGTAGACAGTGTATAGTACCGAGTAGTTGGATGGAGAGGGAGAGAGAGGGGAAGGCAAAAGGCCCGTACAGCACAGCAAGCAAAATCGCAGCATAAAGTCGAGAAGTAGCAGGACAGCCGGGCTGGGCTGGGCTGGGCTGGGCTACAGGATGCCAGAGCACCAGGGCCCTTCACTTGGACATCCCCGGTTACTGACCACTGGCGAGTACGCTACTGTGCGCGCAGTACCCCTCCCCGTATGCGACGTACATAGCATGTACAGGTTAGTTCTCCTCTTGAGGAATGGGGTGCGGTGTGGCCCCCGGTCTGGTTCCCAAATTTTGACCCAGCTTCTTCTCCTTGACGAGTTCAGGTCAGGCCAGGCCAGTCCAATCTGCAATCCACTTGGTCATGGATTAGCTGGAAAGAATATTAGAGTAAGTACCGCGTACGTGCGCTTTGCATGTCCGGTCCCACACATGTAACAGCCTTCAGGAACCTGACAAGCTCGGGTCAAAGTCCAGGCTAGGGTCCACGTACTTGATAAAGCAAGATGAAGCAAAGCAGAGTAGAGCACCATCACCAAGCGGTAGAGAGAGTTGGCCAAAAGCGTACCTATCCATCCGTGGCGGCTGTTTACCAAGATCTAGACAAGGTCAGTGGGTGGGTGTGAAAAGGGATAATGGATATGCGGCCTGGGCTCTCTAGCGTGTCGATCACTGGTCAAGTGGCCCTTCGTGGAACATCATGGACCAAGGCCACTAATCTGCCATTTGTACCCAGGTTCCACCTTCCTTCCCCCGCCAAAAGAAATACGTACACTACTGCACCTGCTCGAGCATGGCTCGGGGTATAGAGTACGTACCGCTGACGTTTGCAGTACCGACATACACTTCGTCCCGTTCCTATGAACACGAGACCCAGAGCCCTCGAGCTTAAAAACGACAAGCCCTCTCAACCTCTCCCTTTGCCATCTATCAGGACCGGGCTCGAGCCACGGCGAGACGCGGCGCATCGCGGTGGGGTTAACCCTGGACTCGACATGAGATGATGTTTCTCTCCTGACGCTCGGCGTTGAGGGACCGACGGCACCAGTACCCATACTGCCTATGGCCCCCGTACAGAGCCTCGGTCACAGCTGTCCATCACGGCTGCCGGTCAAGGACGTTTTTCTCCGCGCCTCCAATACTAGTACACTTGTTCGAGCAGTGACCAGACCGGCACCGTCGTCGCCGACCCCTCACTTGGTACCACCCGTATCGTCTCGTTCGGCGATACGAAGCGTCATGCAGAAGATTATGTGGGTGTTCATGGGATCATACATAAACATGGGAAAGTCATGGGTACTCGTGCCGCTGGACAATTCCCATTCCTCAGTGAAGGGTCAATCAGGGACACTCCCAGGTGCTTGTATGAAAGTAGCCAGGTGCCCTGCGAACACAGTACGTGTGATCCCGGACTGCCAAAATCCTTCGGCTTGGGGCCAATTCCAACCACGCTCAGCCCAGCACAGCACCGGGATACAGAGTCAAAGGCTACTGCGGGGAGAGGATCCCATTACCACAACGGCGTTTCTCCTACAATATCAGGAACTCGTCTTCCACAATGGTGAAGAAGAAAAATCTGGTCGAGATGGAGAGATTTGCGGCATGGAGTTTGTCCGTCAACCTCCGGGATTGCAGTGAATGCGCCGTCAACCTCGTAGCCCCACCTCTCCCACTCAACCACCACCCAGCTCCAAGCGGCAATTGTCCGAAACGCTGATCCATGACCAGATCCACGGGGCTCGATGCCACATGTCTCCCTCCGTCGAGGTGAGCGTTGAGTGTCAAGTGTCAGTGCTGGGGAGATGCCGGGTCTCTTGAGGACGGCTACTGGTAAGCAAGAATGGAGAGTAGAGAGGGGAAAGCCGGGAAGAGAGCCAGGGAAACGAAGCCGCATCGCAGCGGTGGTTTCATATCGGAAGAAAGACAAGCACGACGAAGCTGTAGTTGGCAAAGACAGTTGCCCACGCAAGTCCCATGAGGTAGAGGTTGATCGAAGGTGGCCAGGCCGGGCCCGGCATGCCCAATTGCCTGCACAGGGACACTGTGCCTGGGAAGTGACACGCCCGCGATTAACTGTAGATGTAATGTGTGGTGATACGCAGAGCTACCTAGGTGGAAAGCACGCAGGCCTGTCCTGCGACTGTCGCAGTGTCGAGAGTGTCGTGGCGGGCAGGGAGGTAACCTTTGTTTGCCTTTTTCCTACTGCAATCCTGGAAGCACCTGGCAAATTTACATTTGCATGCCCCAGAGCAGCGAGGCCCGTACTAATGGGGATGGTCTATCCGTCGAGCTGGGGTGGTTTCCATTTTCTTTACTCTCTTATTCCTCGGCCTCCGGGTGCTCTAGGTGCCTCAAGAGATAACTGTTCGGCGCCTGAGCTGTGGCCTGCTGGTCGCCCGTGGGTTGTCAAGTCGGGCCTCCACCATGTCTATACCTCGCCAAGTAGTCCACTTGGCGGCATGTCCACTGCATCGTGAATTTGGGATACACAGATGGTACGTGAAATGAGGCGAGCTAGGATACGATGCGACGACGAACCCAGCCCGTCCAGGGGTGAGAGGGGGAGAGGGCAGATCCACGCAGTCGCAGTGGGGGAGGTGTGTGAAAATGGGTGGTGCCGCAGATGGGGGACGATCGGGAATCCCAGACTTTGAACGGGCGGAAGTTATGAAACCGATCTTCTCTTGTCGCCACCAATGCTGTGCCGTCCAGCCGTCATCTTGATCTCTTCGGTCTGTCGCTTATCCAGTCGTCTGCGGGCTGCTCTCACTGGAAGCGACAGACATCGGCCATGGCATAGGTTCGACAAGACAACTTGGAAAGCCGTGCATCTTACATCAATATCTAGTCGGTAGCAGTGTATTGATTGCTTAACTCGGCCCACTTGGACGTTTCGATCCCGTAGAATGAATCAATAACCGCAGCCTGGAGAAGCATGCTCATCCGCTCCAACTGATCCGTGCTGCACTCTCGGAGTAGTTTTGCTTTACTTCTTGTTTTGTTTTTGGTTCATCTTTTCGACTGCGGAGGGGTAATGGTCAGTGGCAAATCGAGGGTCGGTGGTGGAATTAAAATGGGAATTAGGACAAGCAGCAAACTTGAATTCGTGGTCTTGATGTGAATGGGATTTTCACAATCGCCTATGCTCAAAGAGGTTATGGTGAGTGTCGATCTCTTCCTTGTAGGAAGCGGATACCTCTAGTGGATACCTGCCTAGGATGCGATGCTAGTCGATGGAGAATGCCTGTAACAATCCGTGCTGGGGCAGGATTTTCTTACCTGTACCAACAGACAACCAAGCCAAGAAACAAGAAGGGGGGGGATGCGGCGCGCGCAGTGACTGGGCGGGTGAGAGCCGAAGAGCGTGAGAGCATAGGCGACGGGAAGCCAAGGGAACAGACGGACGAGATGGGGGCACCCGGAAGACATTGAACGGGAGGACAGAATAAATGCCACCAAGGCTAGACAACTAGTGGGCCTTCGGGGGCCAGGGTTGCAGCTCCAGCTGTCACGATTATGAGGTGTCACAGGCCCAGAGGAGAAGGCAGAGAAGGGCAAGGGCAGGGCATGATTTCCCAACTGTGCAACAACCGAACCCGACTCACTCTCGCCACTGCACCGTACAGGTGTCCCGCGGTGCAGGAGCTGCTCATGATTGACGGACACTGCAGGCTCCAGTCGACCTGCTTCATTGGATCGGGGGAAGGTACTACCTATGTAAAAGGGCGAGGCGGCCGAGATTCCAGCCGGGCCTTTGGACTTCAGCGCCCTCTCCCGCGGACATTGCGACGACAGATATGTGGCTGGATTCTGGAACGCGGTCTTTGATAACGCTACGTTGTATCCCCATCCCACCCCGTCCATTCCTGGCATTGCACTTGCGAAATTTTCTTGGTTTCTTATTTCATTTCCAATATTTCGCAACGACATTCAATACTTTTTGTTCCAACTGCTTCCAATCTGACCTGAAAGTCAGACAAAGATAACCGACGAGGTCGGGCTCATTTCCTCAGTCCTGTTCCTCGCGTGGCAGGCGCCTGTCCGAAGCACGCGGAGGAGGGCTACGCCAGCAAATCTCCGAGCTTCTCGCCCTTCCGCCCTTCTAGCCATGCACGCCTGCCTAGCCGGGCCCCGTATCACTGAGCCTTCCGTCTGTCAGGAGCAAAAGTGGGAAAGACGTGACCAGGACCCTCTCAGCCCCTTGCAAGTCATGCCGTCATAATGGCCCGTGCTTCGTACACTCAGACTTCGCGATCCAATCAGAACCCGATCTATCCCACTCCCACTCATCAGATCCGAACCGGTTAAGTCCCCCACCCGACAGCCCATGCGTTGCACCAAGGCCATTTCCTGCAACCTGTGAACGCTTCCATTCTCACTGCCGTCTTCTTGCTTGTCTCCATGCTTACTATGTATTCATGCTCAACTCCCATGTAGCCTGTCTGTCCATACGTACTGCTGTTCGCGCAGGCTTGCGTCATGTCGACGCCACCGCCACACGCTCTGTCAGCGCCTGTGAAGAGCATCATCAGTTTCAAGACAACGTCAGCCCACCTCGTTGTGGCTGGCGCTTTCATCTCCAGAGTCTGCCTCCCCCAAGTCTGTTGACTGATCTAGCTTAGCTTAGCTAAGGCTCCTGATCTAACATCGCCAACAGTCGTCCACGGTCGTCAACAGCCCGTCTTCGCACCGGATGAACGTGTCTGCGTCTACCGCTGCGCTCCCGCAAGTGACGTTCCCATTCCCAGTGTGGCATAGGCCTAGATCACCAGTATTATCGGTGGACCCTGGCAATAAATACCTGCTGTAGTGCGGGTTGACGGCAGGCTGGAACCTCTATCCTGTGTCCTTGTTGTGAGACGCCAGGCATCTACCACTCACGTGCTTCCCCCTAGACATATCAGCCAAACCACCCCCCTTTCCCTCTTCTTCTCCGAGGCTTCTAGCGATGGTCAGTCCAGCCCCCAGATGCGTTGAGACTGATGAAGGATCGGATGAGTTGCTAAGGTTCGCGATTCGACACATAGACTGTGTGTTGGAGTCGGCAGCGCTCACCAACCTCCATTTCCTTAGAAACACTTGCCTTACCTTGAATGATTCATCCGCGCGGACTTGCGTCCTCTCACTGCTGAACCTTAAAGGCCCTCGACCTGTTCGCACAAATATCACTGATCCCGGGGGGAAAAGGAATGCTTACGACACTGTTCATGTAGTGCAGCCAACCACGGCTATACTTGTTTCTCTTCTCAATTTGAGTAACTTCGGCATCCTCACGGGTGTGTGACCGTTGCGTTGAAGCATACAGGCAATACGTAGTGCAAGAGAGCATCAGGTCTCCCTGCTCCTTCACACGGAATTCGGGTGCCGGTGTCGGCAGTTGGTCGTGATGTCGAACACGACGCATAGCATTGTGCGTGGCAAGGGAGGCCAATCGTGGACTAGACGAGACGACATTGTCAACCTCCGCACACAATATATATATGTGTGTGTGTGTGTATAATACATGCATCCTTTCGGATGGCATGTGACTGATGAGTCCATGTATCTACAGTCTTGGCTTGGTGGTCCTCTCCTCGCGCGTCCTTTGCGCGCTCTTCAAGAGTGCATAGAGAGTCTGCAGACGCGGCATCTCAACCCCGCGTGCCCTGGCTATCCTCACCGGGTTGCCTAGAATCACCTCCAGCTCTAACGGCCGTCCGGCCTCCCAGTCGAGCAACATGCTAGGCCTGGCCCCCGTGTTGCGCTCCGTGCTCTTGACGATCCGATCGGGCTTGGCCAGGTCATCGGGAAATTTCCTCCCCAGTATCTTGGGCACCGCCGCTCTGATCTCGTTCATGATGCCTACCACATGCTCCCGTAGCTCCGGATCCGTCACCATGTCGGCATTTCCCCTTCCACCACTTAGTACCGCGCTCGGATTGAACGCCGCGTTGATGCAGAGCTTGTGCCATCGCACCGTCTGCAGCCCAATCTCGTCGTGAGGCTCGACATCACGGATGCCACCCCAGCCCGGACCCCACCACATGCTGAGCTGCTCGACCGCATGTGTACCGAGCCGACCAAGTTCAGGGTCACCCGTCCCGAGTCCATTTGTGTGCGGACCGATGCTGACCCGCGTCCATCGGTTCTGACGGATAACGCCTGGCGATGTCTGCTCGGCGCTGACGACCGTGACGGCACTCACAATGGGGTTACCAGGGAACCGCTGGCGGAAGGGCTCCTCGACGCCAACACCGTTCTGTATAAGAACGATACTCGTACGGGGACCGATGAGGGGAGCGATCATGGCCGAGTCATCCGAGCGATCAGGCAGCGCCTTGGTGGTTACGAAGACGTAGTCCCATTGCGTCTTGGAGCCGCCCTTTCCTGTGGATGCCGCAGCTTCAACCGAGGGGAAGGCTGCGTGTGGTTTGAAGACGTAGTCGCCAAAAGAATGGGTCTGAAGCTTCACGCCTGAATCGTTGATGGCTTTGTAGTTGGATCTGGCCACGAGTGAGACATGGACATTGCGGTCAGGCTGGTGGGACAGTTAGCTTGACCAAATTTACGATGACACTGGATTAAGGACGCCTACGTGATGCAGTCGCGATGCATAAAAGCAGCCTACGGCGCCAGCTCCTATGAATATAATGTTCACAGCGCTGTGGATGATAATCAGCATCAGCACTGTCAAAAGCATGATCACACCCATCATATATCGGGCCAGGGAAACGCATACCTGTCGCTGTAATTGCCCGTCTGTGAACCCATTGAGAATGGGGAAAGGTGAATAGATGGTGTTTCCCACGTTATTTGTGAGCGTGTATTTGATAGAGGCCAGAAAATCAGAGCATTACCTGTCGCGCGTAGAGTAGTCGAGCTTGTAGTGACTGTAGTTGACCGAGGTATTGGCAGACACCATCCCGAGAAGTTGCCGACTAGCACTCATCCCTCTCAACCCCACTTGGTGATGTCGCCATTGGGCGCTCAGGTCGAGCACTGACAGCGCCAGCTGTGGGCAGCTGTGAAACAAGTTAATTGTCCGAGACCTAGCGTTTGACTCGACATCGTATTGAACGGCTTCAGCACACAAACTGCTTTTTAATATAAGATGGCTACACTGTATCTTGTTTCTCTCTTTGGTTTCGAATACAGTATCTGTGTTCATATATGAGGGTTCGAAGCATACAGTCCCAAAGAAATCCATGTACAGGAAGCTTTTCATAGCGAGTAAAATTGAGCGAATAGGATGGTTCGGGTCTCGATATGCAAGGACTTGGACGGTAATAATTAAAACTGGTTGGTTTTGTGCCTCAAAACTATTATCAGCGCTTAGGTGGGTAGACAGGCCTTCTGCAGAAGAGATGACTTATTAGGTTGAATTGACTTGATGCCCAGTGTTCGCCTTCCCGGCTAACCATCGGTGTTTCAAGCCAAATTCCCTTTTCAATGAAAAAGGGTCAAATGTCAGATATTCAGTTCCGTTACCCTTCTTAGGTTCCCGATGCTGAATGGTTGGTACATAGAAGAGTGGAAGAATAGCGCCCAACGCTGCGCTTGTCCCTATCAGTGACCCCCCCCCCAGTCGAGGCTTCCAAGTATTTTCTGGGCTTCTATAGGGTATTTTGTGAATGAATGAAATACACGACGTCTTCGAGGCTTACTATTTGCCCCAAGAAGGAACATAGTTAGGGAAACAAGATCTCTCCGAGCAGATTGGGGGAGGCAGGCGCCCTTTGTGGATTGATGTAGACCTTGGAAGCACTTTTCAGCTTTGAAGAGTCATTGAAAGTGGGCTGATACCCATTGGAGTGCTTTTGCCTTTCTCCACGACACATGGAGTTTGTTTGAGACGTATGATGGTTCGCAGATACAGAGGCGCATATCCGCTGGGCCAAAGCCATTGACAGCGTATCTGAAATACTTGGAACGACCATGCGGCAGTACTTTCATATAGAATACGGCAGAACCAGATGAAAGTTACTCCACTATCTTACGAACGTACAGTCACTCCGAAATAAACATAGGAGGAATAGATGAAGCTGTGCCGTCAACAAGGTTTGTACTGTTCACTCTCTCCAGGGAACCTCTGAAGCGCTTGTGGGTAACACCGTAAAGACTAAGAAAGGGACCTGACACACGCTATACATTAGACTGAATGTATTGTGTTGAGTTAGAAGAAAACTCTCAGCAGGTTCACAGAGCGGCATGAAGCCTGCCATATTGGAGACTGTACAGTCGCGAGCTCAACTGGCAACTTATAACCGCCAACAAGATCGCTAGGCATTCACGAACCGCAGACGGTGAAACCATCTCGACAACAGGTCTCAGACCGAAGAATGAGGAATGGGCAGTTTGGGGTACACAAGTACACTCACGAGCATCGAGCAGGTGTGAAAACCATCCAAGTGGCATTTCAAGCCGAAGATGACTTTCTGATTTCAAAACCTATGGCTAGCATGCCATCCTTGAGATCTGCCTTCCAGACCCACCAAGTCATGTCCCGATGAACGAGACTTCATCGGCAAAGCTGGTGCCCAAGGAGTCATCACCGCTTGGTCTTCAAGGAGTTTTACCAAGGCAGCTTGTTTGTCCCAAGGGTAATCTGGAGTGCGGAAACGATGGACTTCAAGTCGCCGGGACAGATTCGTACAAGCGTTCGAAGGCACACCGTCGTTCCTCACCGGTTGCTCGGTCGACCTCGGGATCTTTGCGGATGGCTCTCGATTCGAATACCATATGGCTTCCCATATGTGACCCCCCTGTCCCGGAGTACCAATCGGGCTTGTTAGTATTTCATGGAGACTGTTGAATCCAGCTGTCTACATTGGACACAAAAGACTGAACTCACTACCATCACATCGAGGCAGGAAACGCAGGCGCTTACACTAGACTACAAGTTCCACCAAGGGGTTGCCATCACTTACTCTCTGTAGACCAACAACAGATCCTCTCCAGAGTCTCCTTTGGCTCGAGCGCTTGCGATCTGAACCTAGTTGTCCAAGAGCTTTGTTGACTGTCGCGTTTGGCAGTTCACTTGCCGTGGGCAGCGGCATCTACAGGAGACAGCCGACGGCTCAATGTGCAGTCGTAGAAAGATGCGTCGGTCTTTTCATATTCAGCGGCCCAAGGATCGGTGTATAGCCTCGTCGACGACATCGGCTTCCGAGAACGAGACAACGACGCAGAGCATCGTTCGCCAAGTCTGGAAACTGCAAACGTGTTACGCCTCTTACAAGTCTAGTACATAGCAGAAACAGACGTCAGCCGCAGCCCCGGAGGAGAAGTAGATTGATGGCAAGACTCATATATGATGCAGCTAAGCCATGGGGATGGGCAGCGGCACCTTTATTCTAGCTTTACTTGCCCTCGATGGGCAAGTCGGAAAACCTCATACCAACAAATCCGTCCAATCTTTCACAGTAAACATTGCCGATACAAGACGAGAATGGCAATATGTGCAAGCCCAAACCAGCTGTCTCAAACCCGTTGTTACTCGACATCTTCAAAGGAAGGACGGAGCTGCCAGATTGGGCCATGCCGAAGGGCACTAAGAACGAGCATGAAAGGATTCCTTTCTTAGCCCTACCATCCAAACGATGCGACTCCCGCATGGGTGGGGTAGCAACAAAGTGCGGAGTATTAGCTTGAGGACAGAATTGGATGGCCGTGCCGCTTTGGAAAAGAAAACTGAGGGGGCGGGGAAGGGCGTGGAGTCGTGGGCTGGGCGGACTCGAGCAGGCCCCTGCTCGTTTCCCAGGCTCCAGCTTACCTAGAATAGGCTGCCGATTCTCGACCGCGAGAAACAAGAGTCGAATCTGGCGCAGTGTTCAGTCGAGACACGAGCCACAAGAAAGAGACATGATCTACGTGCTTCGCGAACTTATATTGTTCTAGTCACGACGAGGTACCTCTCGAGACAAGGAACTTTGAACACAATTCCACCAACTTCAGGGTCTCAACCTACCCCTGTTTTTCCGTAGGCGCGAGACGCTTTGCTCCCGCTGCCGCTGACAACAGCCTCGCTTCCATCTTGCCAACGGCCTTCGTGCCATAATCATCCGGAAGGTGCAGGCGCGTTTGCGTTTGCATTGCATGCACCTGCCTCTTATCGGAAGGCGGAGTACAGTGACGATGAATGGTTGCACCCTTCACCTTACTACTGCCAGAGGACCGCCAGCAAGAAGTTTGATGACCAGTGTAGGTGACACTTACCCTGACTTTGGAACTTGCAGGCGTTCGGGTCTCTGCGGATGCTAATGACACCACTTTTTGCCTACTTAAGCAGCTTGCAGCTTGTCCAGGGATGGTTGGACCTCTGGTGATGTCTTGGGAGGTCTTGGTCGACGGCATGATGGCCTCCTCCGGGTCTCTGATCGTCGCCCAGCTCGGAAGAGAACGGCGAGGGGCCCTACCTCCACGGCAGCGGATAAATCGAATCTGACCCGTCCCATGGCGCATCCCCGGCACGGGTATTTCACTTTTGTCTTGCCTAGGGCATGTTCAGCAAAAAAAGTGAAGACCCCCGCGAGCCTCACCTGCCCTTCCGCCAAGAACGGCGATGGTTATTCCGCCATCAAGACTCTCCCACTGATTGGCACATGGGTGTCTGCTTGAGGGCTTTCAGTTGAGCGTTCGCATTCCTCGGACATGCGTGTAGAACGTGGAAACAAAAGGCTGCAGATGAGGCTCCCATTCTGCGCCACCTAGTGCATATTCTGCCGGTCCTGCGGCCACTTTCCCACAGACTTGTCCGTGAAGGCACATCCCCTTCAAGTGCTGTCAAGTTTCGTGACCCCGCAGGGCCACGCCTCTTACATTGGAGTACGTTAGACGCCTGGCCCTGCCGCGCCTCGTTGACTGGGCTATCAACATCGGGACTGTTCGCAATAGTCCATAGTAGCTTCGCATGGGGTTCCCAGTGTCTTTCAATAATAACATTGTACTGTGTCATGAGCGGTTGTCCTGCGCCCCTTTGGCAATGCAACTGAGAGTATGAGAGCCCCGGAATGTCTCGCGGCTGGCTGTTCATGTGTCAAAAACCCAGACAACCTCCTTGCCCGTTTAGAAAATGTCGTGGATTCTATGTGCAGCTAGCTGTTTTACCAAAGGGGACTCCTGTTGGGCCAGGCTGCATAATGAGGCGAAGAGTGGCCAGACCATATGATGGAAGGCAGGCGACTCAGCAACAGAAAGATGCGGAGGCGGTGGTGCCACTGAATCCTTCCATCCGCCTCGGGTAGCAAGAAGAACAGCCACGGTGCAGACCCATCGCATATGCCTCGACTCTCTCACCCAGTAAGCAATAGATTAGCCAGATGGGCTCACCGGCCTGAATCAGTCGTTGGCTTCCCGCCGTTGCAAACAAGAGCATAACACCAACGGCAGGCCAGTAGTGAATGCTCACCTTACCAGCTCGCACTATTGCCCAAAGAGACGGCAAGAGGGTGACGAGAGCGAACCAAAAACATGAGGAGACCCTGACACCAATGCAAAGCAAGGGGAAAAAAAAACCACAACAACCAAAAAAAACCGACAAGGCCGTTGACGGTTGCAGTCATGGATCAAAGATGGGGGAGATTGGCGGCCAGGGACGAGGGTCACGCATAATATTCTGATCTTGCTGATGTGAGGCAAGGTGAAGCATGGTATATGAAAGGGAGCCGAGAGGTATGATAGAGCACACAGTCAGCGAGCGAGCAGTGGAGCGCTTTGACACTGTCATAGTGGGGCCGGATATCAACTTGCACTGTGATTACAGTGACGGGACA